CTGTCCGCTGTTCGCTGTCCGCTTCCCGCTGTCCGCTTCCCGCTGTCCGCTTCCCGCTGTCCGCTTCCAGCTGTCCGCTTCCAGCTGTCCGCTTCCCGCTGTCCGCTGTCCGCTGTCCGCTTCCCGCTGTCCGCTTCCCGCTGTCCGCTTCTGCTGTCAGCTTCCCGCTGTCCGCTTCCCGCTGTCCGCTTCCCGCTGTTCGCTGTCCGCTGTCCGCTTCCCGCTGTCCGCTTCCCGCTGTCCGCTTCCCGTTGTCCGCTTCCCGCTGTCCGCTTCCCGCTGTCCGCTTCCCGCTGTCCGCTGTCCGCTTCCCGCTGACCGCTTCCCGCTGTCCGCTGTCCGCTTCCCGCTGTCCACTGTCCGCTTCTCGCTGTCCGCTACCCGCTGACCGCTGTCCGCTTCTCGCTGTCCGCGACCCGCTGTCCGCTGTCCGCTTCTCGCTGTCCGCTTCCCGCTGTCCGCTGTCCGCTTCCCGCTGCTGCTGCTGGTTCCCGCTGCTGCTGCTGCTGCCCGCTGCCCGCTGCTGCTGATGTCGGCTGAGAGAGCCACATTCTGAAAAAGAAAAAAAAATAAGAAAAAGAAGGGAACAAATTAGAATAAAAAGAGAAACAAATTAAAATAAAGAATAAAGTTTTAATAAAAGGCTCCTTAAACATAAAAGTAGGGAAATAGAAAAATTAGAGACAAAAGACAGAGATGAGCGAAAGCTCGAAACTGTAAAAGGAAAGAGAATTAAATAAAAAAAAAAAAAAAAAAAATGCCCGCTGCTGCTGTCCGCTGTCCGCTTCCCGCTGTCCGCTGTCCGCTTCCTGCTGTCCACTGTCCGCTTCTCGCTGTCCGCTTCCCGCTGTCCGCTGTCCGCTTCCCGCTGTCCGCTGTCCGCTTCCCGCTGCCGCCGTCCGCTGTCCGCTTCCCGCTGCTGCTGATGTCGGCTGACAGACCGAAATTCTGAAAAAGAAGAAAAAAATAAGAAAAATAAGGGAACAAATTAGAATAAGAAGAGAAACAAATTAAAATAAAGAATAAAGTTTAAATAAGGATCCTTAAACATAAAAGTAGGGAAATAGGAAAATTAGAGACAAAAGACGGATATGAGCGAAAGCTCGAAACTGTAAAAAGAAAGAGTATCAAATAAAAAAAAAAAAATGCCCGCTGCCCGCTGCTGCTACTGCTGCTGCTGCTTAATTTTTCCTTTACTTTTTCATTTTAATTTTTGCTCGCGTATTGTCCCGCCAACGGAGAGTTAGAAGCAATGGATTTCTTCATGCATTTATAAATTGATATAAGAAATGCAATATTTCGCGCCTCGCGTTTCACACAATGCGGCCATCTTTTTTGCTGTTCAGTATCGCCATCTGCATTCGCGTTAAACGCCAGAATTACGTAGTCCAGATACTTCGACTGCCGGTAAAGTCATCATTTTGTGCATGTCGGTAAATTGTTAGAATCACTCGCGCAAGCATGATTTTTTTTATTTGTAGTATAATAAAATATGTAATTAAAAATTCATATAAGAAACGTATTTTTAATCAAATTACATATACTTATTCCGTTACTCTAATACTTGTACGTTAACAGATTTAGGTTACACACATTGCATAAAGCTTCCAGAGAAAAGTATCCAGAAGCACAAATATTTTATAGACGAAAAACATGCGAAGATGAAACAATAGATTAAAGAAGCCTTATAATCATTGTACTTTTATGTATAAACGTTTCACAAAATAAAATCTTTATAAATGAAGTGTTACATTAAAAATATTAGTATAAAATTAAATATCCACGTCAGATTAAAAATTTTTTGTCCTTTTTTTTCTTTAGAATTTTTTTATTTTTTTTTTCTAAAGATTCTTTAAGCGAGAACTGCTTCTTTCGCAAGACTATTGAACAATTTGAATATTTGTTATTTTTCTAGTAGTTTAAATTTCGTGAAAAAAGTCGAGAGAAAATTAGATTTTATTGTATTACTGCACATATCGATTAAATGATATATCAAATATGTAGTGTAAATATTTTAATTCTTTTGTATACGATCTACTTTTTATTCTATCTATGTTTTCATAGTGATGCACCTTGAGCACTTTGCTTCATATGTTTGCAATAAAAATATATTAAAGCAAATTATTTTGCAAATTTATTATTCTAATTTTTATTTAGAAAGATTAAGATTAAAAAAGACGTATGAATTTTTTCAGATATTTCTATTGAAAAAAACACATCAGATAAAACTGACTTTCCTATACATTCTAAATGTGCCAAAAGATTTGCTCTTTATTCCACTTACTGCAATAATGTACACTAAAAATGACAGATCTATATTAAAAATGATAGATCTATATTTAGTAGTTGAAAAGAAAGAGAGGAGAAATGAAAAGTGTATCTAGAGAATTTAAAAGAATAAAAAAAAACAAATCTAAAAATAATAATACATAAAGATTAATATTATGTATTTTTTTCATGAGGAATGTGAGGCGCACATTTATGCATTTATTTATTTAGATGAGATTTACTTTAGAGCACATTCAGTATTCAATTTTTATTTTATTTTCTCTTTCTTACGATATATAAGTATAACATAATTACCTGCAATTAACCAATCAACCAATTATTCCACCGCTCTGTTTCATTACAGTTGCAATTTTCTTTTATAATATCACGAATATTATAAATAAGATAAAGATTTCAGTACGTTTCAAATAAATTTATATATTTTATGTATGTAATACTGCGCACACATATTAAAAGGATAATATCGCAGTTATAATAAGATACAATCCTGGCAATGTAGCGATGTTTGGATTCTGAAAATAATTTAATTTGATTTATTTTTCAGAAATGCGCACAATACTTGAGAGCAAATTATTTTTGTGCCACGTATTACCTGTGTAAAATTCCACACACAGTATCATATTGTCTGCGGTATATGAAAAGCTTCATCGATGAAATATGATTGAGATAAGAAAAGTAATATAGTACTTGTAACGTTAATGTGGAATACATATATATTTTATATTTTAATTTCATGTAATCGAGATGAGATAAGACACTCATGATTACTTTAAAAATGTGTCCACAAATATCATGTAACTTCAATAGCTGCACGTCAAATTAATTCTATTACGTTAAATGAATCACAGCAGCTTGTTTTAATTTAATCTAACCTAACCAATTATATTATATGCTCCTCATTAAAATGTGTAAAACTGTACGTCGCACATTTAATACGATTAATGTACTACGTAATAAAATGTAATACACTAATGAAATAATTAAATATTATTTTTGAAAGCATAATAAAATCCAGGGAGCATACGCTTGTGTTTACATTCGATATCCAAAGACACTGAGAGGTTAAATTAGGTTAGGTTAGGTTAGATCAAACAAATTTATCGTTTAACAGTTGGCAACCCTACGAGATAGGCTGTGCAGCACTGCGCGCGCGTATACAAAATTCAAATCGCTTCTAGCATAATCATCTTCACGCGATCGACTTATTTGAATTGCACTGAATCGAATTATGATGCGGCGCCGATTTGTCCGAATGTAATTCGGGACATCGCGATGCTGTATAAGCGTCGAATGAGCACGAATTGTCACGCAAATATGATAAATCAAATCTACTCAGGCGGCTGTTCCACAGGCCGCTCCTCCTCGGGACAGTTCGCTCGCCTCGGGACGTCCCATTCCGATCTTGATGCACACAAATTCAAACGATATCATCAACGCGTAACGCGCGACACTTTATGCGGCACTCCCGATACTCGCTCTCATCCGATAATCATCATCAAGGGCGCGAATAACGCGACGCAACTTCGCTCCATCTTCGCGATGACGCCATCACTGAATGTCGTCAAAAATCGCTGTCGCGCGTTTCCATCGACACACTATCAAAATCGCGCGATCATCATTGGACACTCTCGACGCTCGTTCACTCGCAATATTCGTTTAAAAACGATTAAAAGATGCGTAAAATGCGGACGTACGGCGATCCGTGTAACTGCGTATGACTCCGATTCACGCGTCAACATGGCGGCCGTATGACGCGTTTGACGTAGCAGTGACGTAGCAGTGACGAAGCAGCACGCGCCAACATGGCGGCCGAACCAGTGCGCATTCGATTCTGCGCATGGCCATTCCTGCGCGCAACTTTGATTTCTGAATATTGTCTATGGCTTTAATTAATAGCACATAATGATAAATATATAAAGATGGAATCAATTAATCATATTTTGGTCATATATGTAGTCTTTCCCGAAGAATGAGAGAAAAAATTGAGAGATATTTTTAATTTTTTTTTTTAGTAAAGGATGGAATCTATTCATAGACTTGTTCTTCTTTTCCTCTTTTATTCAATTTTGATTCAAAATATAACGTAGAAAATTCATAGTATATGCCATTTATTTTTATATATTCACAACTATAATATTCGCGCGATCATTTTTTGACATTTACAATACTCATGTACCTTGTTCTCGATGCCGCCATTTCTCCCTCCATTAAGACAAGTGGCAAATTTAGTCACTAGATCCCTATTTGCCGTTGGTTTCTAGCGTCAATGAAAAGGCCGCTTAAAGATGCAATTTCATTGACGCTAAAAAGTTGCGTCAACCATTGGTTAAACAATGAAGCAACTACTTACTTCTTTGTTCAACCAATGGTTGACGCTATCTTTTAGCGTCAATGAAATTGCACCTTAAAAAAGAGGACTCGCGAAAGAATTGCGTATCATTATACCTTATGTCACGTTTACATTTATCGTTTCTCCCCTGTACGCAATGTAGAATGTAGTTTGCTAGATGGGGTGGCACCCGATTGACCACGTCGCCAATTGGCCAATTCAAAATAGGACTCTTTGATTGGTTAATCGTTGCTGGTTACCCTAGGCACAGGTCGATATAATTGGCTGTGGTCAATCGCAACGTGTCAAACGGGACGCTCCCGCTAGATGCAATGCGAATGCTCCATGATTTTTAATTACAAAATTTTTCGTTTTTCCGAACGCAGAATATTTCATTCAATGAGTTCTTAAATTTTTTTCCAATTTCTTTCCAATCCTTTGAACTGTTACAGCCAAAGTTCAACTCGAATCAAAATCTAGGCGTTGTTATTACTGGACGCATCTGTCATCCTCTTTTAATAGATAGTCATATCATTTGACTATTTACTCTCGTCACACCTATATTTTTGCGTGTCTCGCGAGCAACGTATCTAAATAATAATAGTGCCCAGTGCCCAGTGCCCAAGTATTCCATCCGAACTTCTCATCTCAATTGCCATTGAAAGAAATGGGTAATAGATCGAGTCTTCTGTTGCGCGAGGATGAAATAGCGCAAATACAAAATGTCACCGGTTGCAAGTATCTCTACTCTCTCCGAATTAATCCCTGTATTCTTTTCTCTTCGCGGCATTTAATTATATTCTGTATAAATTAAACTACATTTAATGAAACTACATTTATGACTTGCATTATTCCTGCTATTACAGTTACACCGAATCAAATCGAACGGTTGTACAGCCGTTTCACGAGTCTGGATCGCGGTGATTGCGGGACGCTCAGTCGAGAGGATTTTCTCAGAATCCCAGAATTGGCGATAAATCCGCTCGGGGAGAGAATAGTGAACGCCTTCTTCGAAGAGAGTGGAAACGACAGAGTGAATTTCTTACAATTCATGCAGGTCCTGGCCCGTTTCAGGCCAATCAAGAAGAATAGCCCTAATCGATTGAATTCTAGACAGCAAAAATTGAGATGTAAATGTCGCGCATAAAAAACTAACATAATTGTTCAAAACGTTTTTCGATCTTTTTCCTATGAAATAAACATTATAAAGATACTAAGGAAAACTTTTTGAACACAAATATCGTCTAATTGTTTTATTCAAATAAAATGTAACAATCTTCCATGTTGCTTTTGAATATCAAGTATTTATACAGCTTATCTCAAATCTTTTTTTCAGTTGCATTTAAAATGTATGATTTGGATAATGATGATTTGATTTCAAAGGACGAATTACTTGCTATTTTGCATATGATGGTTGGCGCCAATATTAGGTAATGATTATATTTTCTTACAATTACCAATATGTCTCATCAATATCTCTAATACCTTGTACAGATCCATTTTTATAATCGAATTAACATGTGTCAAATGACAAAACATTTGATATAAAAATCTGATATAAATTATATAACATATAACGAATGCGTATATATTATAGTGAGGAACAGTTAACTAGCATCGCAGAGCGGACTATAGTTGAAGCTGATGAAAATGGTGATGGTATTATATCATTCGAAGAATTTTGCAAAGCATTAGAACGTACAGATGTCGAACAAAAGATGTCCATAAGGTTTCTCAGTTAAATAGATTGTTGTTTTATACATGAAACAGCATAAAATTTATACATGTAGGAGTAAGTGTTGAGAAATTGTGTGGCTTTTTTTGCAATTACAATTGTGCTATAAATGTATATTTATGTACCTATTATATGTAAATAATATGTAAATAATTCTTATATATTATACTGTTGCCATTCTCAAGAAAATATGGAGTATTGATATAAATGGAAACAATTTTCAATAATTGCTTAAATATGGTATTGTTGGTTTTTATTCATGACAGTAAACAATGGAATGCATAATTAAAAGAAACGAGAAAAGAAGTTTGACAGAATTTCTATAATATGGATAGTTTTACGAAGAATTTAAGAAAAAAAAATAATAAATATTTATATAAATTGTAGCTTAAAAATGTCAAATAATTATAATTACATTATCTTTGAATTTTTTTATCATACATTGTTTTCCATTAATTCCATTAATACCATATACAATGTTTTCCATAAATATAATTTCATTCAATATTAATGCATAATATAACATTATAATAAATATACAAATTGAGAACAAACAAAAGTAATCATTATATGAATACAAAAGTTTTTAAAATATATGTGAATAGAAAATTAATAAATTAAAATTTAGCATCTATTTCTTTAAATATATAAGTACTATCTATTTCTATAAACGAAATTTTCTTTTTATGAATAGTGTAAAAGTATGCTGTAAAGAGAGAATAAAAATAAAATAAAATAAACATTTTTTGACAAATGCTTTGAAAATTTTAGTTATTTCGTGCAAACCCATCTCATAAATATTTTTAATAACTGTAATACAAAAATCTATCTCGAAGATAAAAATATAAAGAATTCTGTTTTGAAAAAAAAATCCTGACAATTCTTTTTACAATTATTCGTAATAAATAATGATAGAAAAATGTTATATTTAAAGTAATAAAAAATTAATAGTAAATACTTTTTTATATATAGCAATATTAAACATTATTTTATTTATTCTTCGAGTATAAGATTATATACATTTTCAAATTAAAAATGCTATTTTGTTTTCTTAGATACAAAAACTAATTATATCTATGGTACGTTTTATTTCAAAAATATAAGGATTATATAAGAATTTTTTGTTTTAAATTCCAGATATATACTTTTTCATGTATTCTTTTAATTTTAAATGAGATCTGATTAGACAAATTTTGTCTAGGAATACTACATATGCTCTTTCTCTCTTTCTTTTAATTTTAATTCTTTTGTACATACCTAAAACTTGTGTAATAGTCTTTCTCATTTTTATTATTTCTAATGGAAGAGGTTTGTTATAAGTGTAATGGATAACTAATATTAAAGAATATAATAAAATTTTATTTTATAATTATAATAATAAAATGTGCCTCTAGATATGTTGATTTTGTATCACTACAATGATAAATATAAAATTTATCTTATAACATTACTAAAAAGATTCCACATATGACAAGGATGTCATTATAATATAAAAAAATTTATTATTTATAACTAAATATATATAAATATTTTCTTCTCTTACAGGGCAGTAACAAATATTGACGGAAAGATCATAACATTATCAATCTTTGCAAAAAGTTTGCAGATTATACAATCTATTATACAGCATTATTTGTGCGAAATCTTTCTTTCTTTCTCATATTAACATATTATATGTCAAAATTTTTATATTATATGTAAAGAATGTGATTTCTTTACTTTTCAGGATATTATCATAAATAAAAATATGTTAATTTAAAAAATATATATGACGACATGTTTGTTACAACTACAAATAATGCTTGATCATATGTAAGCAACAAATCTTGCAACAAATGTTTACATTTAAGCATATATATATATATATATATATATATATATATATATATATATATATACATATTATTTTATCTAATCAAAAATTAAATCAATTTTCACAGAATGATAATCATATATATATATACATGCGAATCTAAATTTTTCCACATCTCAAGGAGCAAATTTTTTTATATATTTTAATAGTATCTGATAATTGCTCCTATTTAAATATATTTCACTAAATATATCTTTGCACTTTTTTCGTGATAAAGTGTTATAAAACGAATTATATTGAATAGCAATTATATAATGCATAAATCTTATTTGTGAGACGGATATTTTTTTAAACAGAAATTGTAACAAAAAATAAAAATTAATTCTATTACAAAATAATAATGCCATTTACATTTAGATACATTTGATTGAATATATAAAATTATGTTTTATAAATTGTGTAGTTTTAATAATTTATGCACTTCTTGAATTGTAAGAGATCATCTTTTAAAAATAATATATAAATAAAAAGTCATTTTTGTATACACTGTTGTATATTAGTTCTACTACTTTAAGATTATGTATATTCCTATTCTTCTTCATTTTTTTTATTCATGTCTCCTGTTTTAAAATAATATAAGAGTAGAAGATTCTTTTCTCACTCTCTTTCTCGTTCCTTTCTCTATTATATGAATATGATTTATCTCTATTATGTCGATCTGCTATTTCATATGTAATGGCACGAAAATACATATAAGAGAATAATAACTGCTAAAAAATATTTGATAAAAATTTCCATTCGATAAACCGGCTATTTTATCGTACACAGATATTATAAGTGCCTTAACAATCACTGGACAGGTACTTTTTGATTCAATGCATCATGTTTATTTATTTATTTAAAATAATTTTATCTTTTTCTGTAACTTTTAAAACTAATACAAGACATAACATTTAAAAGTTGTCGTTTCCAAAATTTATTCAAAGCAAAACACTTTTATTTGTCATTTAATCTTATATTTTAGATATTACACAATCAAATGCTAATTTTGATTTGAACTGTTCCTTTATCATAGATGATGATGATTACGACTGTCTAAACATGATGCGTTTTTTTTTGTTATAAAGAAGATATCTAATTAAATGTTAAAGCATTTATAATGCACTTGTGTACATATACGTACAATAATTATCCAAATGTCTTTGAGAAAAATTTGTCACGCATATGCGCGTAAAATATATTTAATATAACAATATCACAATTAATTTTTTATCAATTTTCTAGCTGCACATACATATATACGAAATGTGTACGTCCCGTAAAAAAAAACTCAGGCAGTATAAAATTGGAAATAAATTGCACGCTCAAAACGCATGTATCTTGTTCCTCTCTTTCAACATAAGTACTTGTTTTAAGTAATTATGACAATTCGTTGCACGAATACTTTACTTATCTCGATAATTTAAGTCTTAATGTTTGAATAACGCCTCGTTCTCGGGATTGTCATCCCTGTGCTTTTCGAGATTTCCGGATAGAGTCGGATCCGGTCGTCGTCTCTTGAAGAAACCGAGTTTTCTCAATACTAATGTAAGTAGAATGAATAATAACATTCCCGCTACTGCAGCCACTATATATATCCATACCGGTACGGGTTCGGCTTCTTGCTGATCCAGCAAATCTGGATAAGCGATCGTCTCAGCCTACGTAACATCAAATAATTATTTAAACATGTTTTTTTATTATATGTAACACTTTTAATATATATATATATATATATATATATATATATATATATATTTATATATTTATATATGAATGTTTCAAAATGAAATTTTTAAAAATGCAATCATGAAACTTTTTTATCATTTAACTTTTATTATATAGGATGATTGCATCGTAATATGATATTGTATATATAATGAAATCTACTTACAATTGCATGGTCATCCTTCAAGTTTTCTTGCTGTATCACAACATTTGAAGGTATTACTATCTTAGCATTGGAGCCTATTTTAACCATATCCACTTTTGGATAATCCTCGACCAAAGTAGAATTCCAAAGTCTGAAATCAATCATTTCTTTAAGAAAAGCATATAAAATATTTCTAATTTTAAAACTGATTTAAACCAAAATATTTTAATTTTAAATTAATTAAAAGATGAGATTAATATTAAGATTTTATATTCTATATAATTTAAAATATTACAATTAAGAAAAATATATTTCATACAATATAATATAATTGATAATAATTAATTTTTTAGATTTTTGTTACATTACCTTGCTTTAACAGTTATGATGGCTTCCTGTTTCCTCTGTAAGTTATTTATGTAGCATTTAATGTCGAAACACTTGGCTGTACCAGCTTTACAATTCTGTAATATGATCATCCATTAAATATTCTCAATTAAAATATTCTACTTTCTATCACAATATCTTATATAAGACAAGGATTATTTAAAAATATAAAAATAAATCATATGAAAAGATATTGTCTGTTTATCAATTTTCTCAAAAGTATAATCTTATATAAAAAGATTTAATCTTGCATATAAAATAATCATTTTTGTACAATAATTATACATAAATTTTGTATAAATTTTGTTTCTAGTTCAAAAGTTTTGACTATACTCCACCTGTTCAATTAAATACAAATGAAATTTTACCATTGCAACTACACGATGACGATGTCCGTCTTTGTCGATAATCGTTCGCGTATTTACAACTTTCTCCGTATCTCGTGTTGTTCTTATATGATTAGTGTGATTATACAAGATTGTCGGTCGAGTTGAAGATTGCAAAATACTTTCGGTATCATCAAAACTGATACTATCTTGCAGTTTTAAAGGATTGATCACATATCCTGATGGTAATGTACATTCACCATCCGCTAAAGTTAAATCATTTAACATTAGCTATATATAAGAATAATCATTATTACATTATATATTAATTTATAAATTATATAATTAATTATGATACATATACATAATCAACTTTAAAAAAGGCGTGTTAAGTCGATGCTTACATACGTATGCATGCACATGTATACTACCTTGAACAGTTGGCATCTCTTCCATATATAATAACCATTTGCCATGCGGTTTGTCGTTTGCGACTTCGTAAGGCCAGGAAATATGCACTTCCACATTGTTAACTTTCCATGGACCTTCATTAAATACTTCATAAATGTGCGATACCTTCGGTCCTATTTCGTTCAGATGCTTTATTGCGGATTCACCGACTACCGGGCCACCGTAAAACGCCCACTGAGTTTTTGCACTCCTACAAATAAATGTAAATTAATGTTAATATAATGTATAATAAAAATTAATTTGATTAAATAATTTAAAGAATTTAATTTATATTTATTAATATAAGCAAAAATATAATAATTATTAATATAAATATAAATATAATAAGTATAAATATAATAATTATTAATATAAGTAAAAATTGGTTAAATTAAACTATTTTAAATATCTTTATATATTCAATGATTTTTTTTTCTCTCATTCTTTTGATTAATCAACTAAACAATATGTTCTACAATTATTGGCATGTAAAAATTTTCATACAATGATAAAATAATATGCTATGTGAAAGTTATATAGAATGTCAAAATTATAAGTGGCATAAATATCAGTCTTACTGTTGTTTTACTGTATTAATAATTTATAAATGACATAGATAAATTATAATGCAGAGTAATTAGCATTTAATCAATGATTTATGAATGAAATGATTATAAAAGAACATACGATATTGTCATTACATTTCAATTAACGATATATTATAATAATTACCCTTTAATTGAGAGCTCGGCGCGTTTTAACACTGTAGCTTGCAATATAGTAGGTTGCTTTTCTTTGACTTCCTTCGATGTGGAATTTGCGAAAATCGTGAAATCTAATTGCGATTCGTTATCTTCGAGACCTTTAGGATCGAATCTCACTTGTATGTCTACCGTTTTGTTCTTTTTGAATGGATTGCCGATGGAACAGGATACAAGAGTAGCATTGTACAGATTGCAAATTATGGAATCGTTGCTCTTGCTGGCAATGTAATTCAAGCTCTGCGAGTGAACGATAAACAGTTGAGCTTCGTATGCGGATTCGCCGATATTAGCCACATTGACTTCCACCACTATCTCCTCTTTCTCACCCAAAAGCAACTCGTAGAAATCCGGTTTTATGGTAGAAGCTAATTACAATAAAGGATTTCATCAAGCAGCTTTTAATAATAAAATTAAAAAATTCTACAATTCTTTAAATAATTTCAAATACATATTTTGCTTTTTATGAGTGTTTTCTTATTTTATTATTATCAATTTATTGGAACTAAACTTACATACATGTAAATGATATATATAATAATGTTTTCATTTTATGAATATATGAAATCAGACTAAGAATATGGATGTTTAATCAAAATTTATTTTGATAATTATATATATATATATATATATATATATATATATATACATAATTAAAATTAGGCAGAACTATATAAATGTTAATAAATTTTATTTCTTTGAATACAAAATGTAAGAAAGAAACACTTACCTGATAAATTCAGTTTAGCTGTCACTTGTAAATCGCTTTCACAAATGTCGTTCTTTCCACAGTCTTTCTGAAAAACGGCCTCGAATACGCGCGCGGCTTCTTGTTGATTGAGTATTGGATAATTCTTCATGTCAGGTAAAGGAGCACCTTCGGGAGGCATGACTGGATCTTCTTGTATCAACGAATAATTCAGACGGAATTTAATAGGCGATTGGATGTCACGTGTGTTCTCCTATTAAATAAAAATAAATATCATTTATTGATAATAAAAATTAAATTTCTTTTAAAAAGAGGAATAAGGTGCGAAATAATACATTTAATACTCATTATTGTAAAATGTTTATATCATAAAGCGTTTAAGAATGGTTGTAAAGTAATCCAAGTACGTTTTTTAATAAATCTTTTCATTTTAATCATTTAAGCATCAATAAACAGTATTATTGTTTTTCTTTTTCCTACAAAGCATTGTCGGCAATTTTTGGAATTTAATCTAGATTACTTAAACAAATGATAAATAACTTTAACGACGACTTTGACTGATGAATTACTTAAATGAAGCATGAATTTTTCTTTTTGAAGCAATATCATACATATAGAAATTAAGTTTTTACTTATTTAAAAAAAAATATTTGCAGAAAATTAAGTAATATCAAAGTAATGGAAGATGTTTTGTGTTGTAATATATAAATATAAAACGTACATAACATACGAGTTTGATTGTACCTTCAAATAGACAATTTCCTTCTGACAATGTACCAATTTTGTCGTATCTAGGGTAACTGTTCGTTTAATATAATGCGGACGCGCGTTATTACTGGCGCCAAACCAAACTCTTGAGAATTTTTTAGCCCCGGTATAGGTCTCTGCTTCAATGTAATAGTTTAATCTCAGATTTTGCATTGATTCCTCTTTCACTAGAGATTCCGTCTTGCAACAAGCCTCGAACGTAAAACTGCAAATTTCAAGATATATGCTCATTGATAATTTTAGTGATGATCGTAAGCTATCATATTTTCATTTTAGAAATGTTATATATTTATTTGAAGATTCGCATTTATTTCGCAGAATCGTTTTTGTATAAAATGATTATGTTACCATGTATGATTTGATTCTGGGTCGGCCAGGCATCCAATTCGATTGGGATCAATAGGTTCTATCATATCCTGATATATTCCATCTTTCTTTGCATAACGTATATAAGTGGAGATATCGATGATTTTCTTTGAACGCAGAAGCGCAATTGCTTCGTTTTCATATGCTCCAATTAAAAGATCCGAATAACCATTATGATCCATATCGATACCTCCGCTTAATGAGTAACCGAATGTTTTCAATGGCGTGGGCATATCCTCAGCATGAATGATCTATTAAACAATAATAAACATAAAGCAAAATTACATACAGATTAAATAAATACATCATTAAATCAATTATGAAAAAATAAATCAATAAAATTATATATAGATCAAAAATTTAAAGCAGTAAGTTTTGAGAAAATCTATTACCTGCGATGGTGTTTTAATAATACCATTCTTGGAACCTAAATAGATATAAACTGCGCCCTTTCCTTCGTACGGAGCACCAATTGCAATATCTTCATATCCATCCTTATTCAAATCACCCAAATTTGTCAATGCAAATCCAAACCTATCATTAATTTAACATTATTATATTTATTACCAATTCAAGAGAAAAAATAAGAGAGTACAAGGCATAAGAATATTATAATAAACCTCGATTCTTCATGACCGACAAGCTTGACAGGCAAACATTTCTCATTATCTTTGACACTTTTACATATATCTAGCGATGTATAAACGTAAACAGCTCCACCTTCCGCTTTATTGAAATAAAATGGTGCTGCCACGATTAAATCAGTTACTCTAAAATAACAAATATTGAAATGTATATATTGACTATTTATAACATGTTTCAAAATTAATTTTTTTAAATAAAAACAAAGATATTAATAACGAAAGTGAAAGATATTATTAATGAAAGATATTAATAATGTGGCATATAAATTATTGATGCTAAGACAATCGACTGTAATACATATGACTGAAGTATGTAATATACGTATCGAATACGCGAAGCCTTACTTGTCTCCATTTATATCCGCCGATGTAATTTCATATCCATAACTTGATGCGAATTGCTCGCCGTCCAGAATAAGAGCGACATCCATGTCCGGCTTGAAATCGCGTCTAGTAAACAAAACAACTTGGCCTGTGCCATTAGAACGAGGTGCGCCTGCCGCATAAGCCAAACCCTTGCCGAAAAAGTTTCCAACAGCCACAGACATCCCTATAACAACATAGTGTCGATTAAGCAAAGATGATAACTGTAATATATGGTGTAACTGGTTAAGAAAAAGAAAATCGATGATTTAGCAATCATATAAATTCGGCAAAGCGACGAAAGTACAATAAATCTATTCTTAATGAGAGAGAAATGCTTCTAATAATGTATATGTACCGAGATAGCTGTATTTATTTACGGGCGAGGAATCTTGCATTGGCGCGTTATAAACTGTATTGTCTCTAGTTAGAAACTCGTCAGACACTGTGAGTAAATATAGGGTTCCTCGCCAAGTATGCGGTCCTGGGGTGCCGATCACTACGCGATCTTCCGCAGTTAATAAACCGCTAACTCCAGCTTGACAATAACCGAACTGCTCGTGGGCTCTGAAAAAAATCGAAAAAGTCACATATACTTGAAATTTATACTTTTATACCATAAGCATAATAAATAGATATATGCCTAAGTATTCTGAATAATTTATATTTCTATTACTTATTTGTAGGTTTCCCAGAACATGGCTTCTTCAAATCATCGTATTTCAAGTCTTGAGATAATATGTAACATTGACCCTGACCCCATTGCGAATCAGCTGTCCTAACAATATGACGATGCGCGCATACCTGGAAGCAGAGATGTGAATTGAATAATCTTTATAAGCATATATAATGCTTATACATGGCATATAAAAATTATTTATCCTTATATGCATACATCTACCATCCCTCTCAGATGCAATATTATTGTGATCTTGTGTCTGTTGACTCACCATAACTTTACCCCCTACTCCCTGACTGCGTACAGTCACTCCTAACCATTGATTTTCTTTTATTTCATCATTCCCTGGTGGTATTAAATCATCGGATTCCAAATCTGGAAAAAATACATTTTTGAGAGGGATAAAACTTTGAAAATGATTTAAATATGTACCTGTTTTTAAGAGAATTAAATTACAAATTCTATATATTGTTTATATACATTATAACTTGCAGCATTATTTACCTATGACAATAAAAATTCATAAAAATCCATTATTTTAATTATTGCAATCATAAATGAAATAAATTTAAATAAATAACAGAAACAATTTGCAATAAGTCAAATAAAAAAATTTAAAAAAGTATATATATATATATATATATATATATATATATATATAACCGAACTAAAAAACTCTTATTATGATATTGAGATAATAGCTGCAAAGCAGTAATAGTAATAATTAGATACATAACATATAAATTTAAATTTCCAGTAATGAAATTAGTAGATTACAAAATCTAAGAAAAGAAATATGATAGATATTAATAAATGAATAATTAATGAATAATATGATATAAATAAATATAGTGATTTTAAATTATGAAAATAATTATTTAATTATTTAAAATTTTATTTTTAAAGCAAACCACCTGTTTGTCAAATACAATACATAGTATAGCCATGCGCATATAAAGATGGATATAATCAAATAGAGCACTGCATGATGAATGCAAGATAGATAAATAAAAACAAATAAGCAATAATGTTAGTAAAAGCAAAACTGTCAATTTGCATAAAAGTGCCTTAATATTTTATATATTACTATTGTTGTCAATTGCTATTATCATTGTCACAAAATATCTTGTTTCTATTCATTATTTTGAACAAGAGCAAGCTTTGATATAAATAAGCAATATTAATTTAATAAATTAATTTAATAAAGAGATTATATGATCACTGAGATTAATTTTTTCATATTGCATGCTCTCGGACTTTTTAACATGAGATATTTTTATTCAAAAAAGATATATGTGCAATCTGAATGGCAAAACATTTGTAAAAACTCTCAAACTCTTCATTCAATTCATTCTGCAAAGACTGCTGAAGTTTATACACTTACTTGAATCGTACAATTCGTATTCGTATGGTCTGTATAATAGACCATCGTCCACTGGTTTACCAAAACATGATTCAACAAAAAAGCATCTTATTATACATAATATGAAATTGAGTATTTTTTAATTGATAAATAAATACATTGCATTAATTAAAAATTTCAACCTATTTATTAGCAAAACATAAAGACATGTGCAACCCAATACCCTATCATTCAAATATTACATAGAATTTAATGGAGAGAATAATAATAATTTAATTTACACAATGGTATAAATTGAATTATTATTGATTATATAGTTATAGTATTATAAATGTACATCTTCAATTATCACAATAATAATAATTAAAAATAAATATATATAAAACGTACTCAGACGTCCATCGGTAATAACTTGAATACAATCATTGAAATGTGTTGACATAGGACATTGCCATAATGCCCCTGATTCATTTGTTCCTGGTTGTCGATTTTGATCCAAAGGAGCACCGACCAGCATCCTATAAAGGAAATATTTGAAGATTAGAATTGAAATTTTTAAAGACATTGAATATTTTTTAAATAAAAAAATACATACACAAAAGTATAAGTACAGATATATCTTTAATAAAAAGAGAAATTAACATAAAGGCTATAATCATTCTAATTCTTCTTTTTAGTATTAATTTAAGGAAACTAAACTAAGTTTGGGGTTTTTATGGTCTCATTTAAAAGAAAATTACTATAAAAAAATGTATGCAGTAGCATTTTTAAATTGCATTTTATGCATCTCTCTAATGAACTTTATTTTTTATACCTTACTTTTTTTATATTAATTGTACCAATCCTTTTACATAAGAAAGTTTATAAATCTCGTTTAAATAAATTTGATAATTGAAAAATTTATGAAAAAAAATTTTAATTACATTATAATATATATTTAAGAGACTACTATTCTTAAATTCAGTTGTTGTTTAATTAAGTAATGTTTCTTAATGCAAAAAGCCTGTAAGAATCAATAATGATTAAAAATAGTAATGAGATATCGAGAAAAAAACTTGTTGAATGCATGTATTATTTTCGATACCCACCAGCTTGTCGATGTCGAGTTCTCGATCTCTATGTGTTCGGCCACCGAGTAGCCGAAATAGGAGCCCTCCAGGCCCATTTTGATAACAGGTATTCGTGGTTCCAGATTAAAAGCGTACGTGACGCACGCACTAAGAGCGATCCACGGCAATGTGTTCATCTTTGTATCGCTATTTTTACTTATCACCGGCTATATCAGAACGACTTTTCAAATCCGTTCCCTTCGATTGTTTCGCACAAAACCCCCGGTTCTGTCATACACTTTTCACGCTATTCCTATATCATCACACTGTCGGCTACATACAACCAGTAACACGTACACCCTTCACATACCCTTTCTACATTTTTGAAAACACATTACATTACCCACCCTATCCACCCACGCGCGTCGGGCGTACCTGGTTGTACTTTCACAGGACTTGCGCAGTGTCGACAACACGTTGTGTCGCGTTACGTAATTCAAATGTTCCTAGAAGGTCGTCATGAGTTGTGCACTCGCGCATCGAAGATTGAGAAACGTCATCGAGAATCTTATCGCACCCACGGAGACTGACCAATTGGAACAAAGATCTCTTTATCCTGATTGGCCAATGGGACATCTCTCGATAAGTCATCAATCCTCAATGTGTACTCTATGGGTTAAGAAACAGACACAGGGACGTCATCTAGATTCATCCTTTCTTTATGGAAGCTCATATAAATATTCCTCTTATTTACACACATCAGAGATGTTTTTGTTTCAATTGACTTCATATGAAAATAGAGTATAGAAATGATTCTTCAGTATATCATACCCACATATATACACATAGAGATTCACGTAAAGCATTTGCATTTTTTAATCTAACTTCTCATTTTTGCGATATATTTCATTAAAATATTAGTCCAATTAATTTCTAAATAATTCGAAATAATATATTTTCAGATCAAACACGCTGACTCATCTCCTCGGTATGAATGTATAAGTGTCTGTTTCACATTTTGCATTCTTCTGAAATCGCTTATTCTACTTAAGATGAAACATCCTTTATTCTCAGAAAACATACAGAATATGATATATACATATGTATAGCAGGTAAGAAAAAAAAAGATTTCTCTAAGAAGAAAAAATACATTAGTAAAAAGAATAATTAATAAAGTAAATTATATTTGTTTATATTGAGAAATAAGTAATAAAATAAGTAATAAAATTAATTGAGAGAGTGTCGCGCATAATTTTTTAGTTGAGAAGCCGCGAGACGGCAGTTAATATAATTTATTAATCCATTAGTAATCAATCGGGGTAACAGCTATTGTCTTATTGACGCGCGTAACGCAATGCGTTAACATTGAGCAACAGGAAACGCCGGCTTTGTTCGATAGCAGATTTTCGATCAGTAGCATCGCCGTTCACCGGACAGAAATATCGATCTCGATTTTACAATCGTGTGTTCGTCAAATTTTTTAATCACAACGATATATATTCGTTGAGATGAAATTAATTCTCCAGAAATTTACATCGCACGAATTAATTAATCATAAATATATACATTCGCTTCGAAGATTTGAGAGTTGTGCTTTGAATTTAGCGACATAAAAAATTATATTGTAAATTATTTAAATATTATACATAACAATGAAAAGATTATTAATTTCAGTTCAGCTCGTGGGTGCCATGTCTATAATAAATAATACTGAGATAAAGATAAATAAAATAGAGAGTAAAAAGTTATAATAAATGTGAGTAATATATTAAAGTGAATAAAGTTAAGAATTGATAAAATAATTACTATATAATCTGATAATTATCGAAGATTGATTGATGAAACGACAAATTGTAATAGAAATTGTGGAAAAAAACAGTGAAACCGGAGTACAGTGCCGTGTCGATTTTAATGATAAAAAAATCAATTTTGCAAATCAAATGTATTTTGTCAAATTGCACTTTTATGAAATTATATTAACAAAATCAAGAAAAGATCGATTTATTTTGGTTTTTTGAATAAAAGAGATTTTTGCACGCAAAATAAGTAAGTAAAATATAAAAGACTACAAGTTATCACACAATAATAATAACAATTGTATTTATTAATCGTAATTGTATGTAAAAACAATTATCAAATCAATTTATAATTTTAATAATCATAAAGTCAAACAATTGTTTGAAGCATAAAAATGGATTTTTGCCTTTTTTTCAACTCGCTTTTCCACGATAAAAGTAAAATATTGACTCTCATTTTAAGGGTTTTAAGATTATGATAAATGGTTCCATTATCTAACTACGGAATCATTATTTTACGAACCGCTTTTAGTGAGCATAATGGATGGCTTACACATTTTTGATACTATCTACTTTCTTGTAATATCGATTATGTTTTCATTAAAGTATGAATTTATACATGATTATAAAACCGAATATTGTTTCGCGGTTAAGGAACAAAATATTTTTTTCGTGCTTTTTATTAAAGAAATTATTTTTAAAATTTCATACTTTTTCTATTAATGAAGTTCTATTAATAAAGTTTATTGTGTATGTATATAAAATTTTATTTCCACAAAAGAAAATAATTATTTATAAAGCTGTTTCAATAACACATATATGTATGTATAAATTTGATTAACAACTCTTTAACCTTTAGAAATTTACTTTAAAAATTTATTAACTTTAAAAATAATTTACAATTGTGCAAGTAATAACAATCACGTGCGCAACATTGTTTCGAGTTGTCATATTGTTTGAAAGAGATACGCGACTAGGGACATGCGGTAAAATTAGAAAACTTTTCGTATATTCTGACGTTTCTTATTAGCGTCAACAAGAATTTATCTAATATAGAAGATTAACAATATTTAAATATTAAAATATTAATATTTTAATATTAAAATCATTATTCGACGTAATTATACAAAATACAATGTTATGAATAACACAATTATAGTCATAAATGACATTATTAATTGCTATTTATTCGTTAATTTTCTTACTTTAAATAATTATTGATAAATATATTAATCATATACTAATTGATTGGTTTTCACTACAATTATACATTATTTCTAGTTTACTTAAGAAAATATGAAACAACTTATTATAATTTGTTTGAGAAATACAAATAGGAAACAACGCGATTAACAAATAACATTCATTCAACTAACAATGTGAGTGTCATGTGCGAATGAAATCTTATTCAATAAAATTAAAAAAAATTAGGATTATTTATTCGAAAAACACCAATCTCTAGATCGGAAGGAATCCTTCGATTTTGCAATTAAAAGCTCCGTTCAATTCTATTACCTGCCACCTCTAGAGGGAGAAAAGCCGCGCGCATACTCGCGATTGATACTCGCGCACGTGCTTCCTCGTTCGCAGATTGATCCCGAGTGTGTCTCTCGCATACACAACACAGTACATTCGTGCCGAGTCAATGTGAACGTGTGTACTACCGTATGTGTCGCGATTCACCTGTTGTAACACCTGATGCATCCTCCAAAGCTCCGCGCTTCCCTCGTCTCGACGGGTGCTTAATAATCACGGTATTAATTTTGTGATAATTTTGTGACATAGATCAATGCTTGTATAGTTAGAAAGAGGAATTGCGGAATTGACGAGACGGTGATATTGCGAATTGTCTTGTGTTTTATTTTTTTGTTTACGCGAATACTATATTCGTCGATAGATCGATTAGTTCGAATTCTTATTGATTTTTATCAATTGCTTTACTATTACTTCAAATGAAGATGAGAGATTTGCTCTCGCGGTTAAAATTTATTACGCAAATGGTTAATTATAAAATAAAAAATTTGTCTTGGACTTCAAAAAATTAAAAAAAAATATCTACTTTCAATTGATTTCAAAATATTGCCTTCAATTTTAATTATAAAGATATACAAGAAATTAGAAAAATGTGATACAGATCATAAATTTATATAGATTTTAGTAGCATCAAAGATTTAATATTAGTTTTATAATGTATGGTATTTGTTGAAGATTAATCGCGAACGCGAACAAATCACCAGTGAAGGCCAGGAACGAGTTTAAATTGTATTTTCCAATTAAACGCAATATCAATTTGCGATTGTTACAGCACAAAAGCATTGCTTCGACGATTCAATCTAATTAACTGGAGTAGCTAACCGGTAGGACAATTATAACCATATTCCATAATGGAGCCGCACGAAATAATGTCCTTAAGAGGATCTTATTAGCTAACAGCTATGAGAAGATGAAGTAGATTGCAGACAGGATCGAACCTCAGTATTGATGAACCCTAGATATTTTTCGTTAGACATTATTGGAATAATTATTTATCAGTATTTACATATCAAATGTTACATAGCAAATGTTATTTCTTTTTTAATGTCAGTCATTGATTTAAATTTAAGAATTTATTTAATATCTTCCCCCTTGCATATACAAGAGTTTTGTTTTCTAAAAAAATAAGATCTATCATTGAAGAATATTAATTGAATCAAAATAGGAAACATAAATTTGAAAAATTAAATATTATTTAGAAAAATATATTAAAATTATGCAGAATTTTTATATATTTTTTTGTACACAATGTATTTATATTAATTGTACAGAATTTATAATGATTTTTATATAAATTAATTTGTAGATAATTTTGATATTTTTCTAGAAATTCTTCATTTTATATTTCTTGTTTTTAAATCGTGAACCTCACAAATTTCGAAATATTTTATAAATGCTTAATGTAAAACCGGCCCTGATTATAGAGACACAAGGAAGAGTCAGAGAAAGGAGAGGGTGGAAAGAGATAGGGGATGAAAAGAGATCGCCTGTATACGATAGCCTAAATAGATCGTGCAAAGAAGATGGAACGAAGAAAGAGGAAGGCAGAAATGAGTGGGGAGGGGGATGAGATTGAAAAGTTGCGGAAAGCGGTGGGAGATCCGTATTGAATCCATCTGATTATTCCGTACACGGCACTGTGTTGCGGGACACGTGATTCTGCGTTTGTACGCGAAATTGTACAATGCGCTGCTACTCATCGGTGACCTGTAGCCCGCCGTTGCATCTTTGAAATTGCGCAAAGGGCATCATCGAGGAGCTCGAAAGAGTGTGTTTTATCATTTCACACAAACGAACGGAGATATATCGGGGTGCGTCAACTGCAACAGGTAATAAAGTGATTTGTACACTGAATAATTAGATAAATAAATTATATAACGACGTGAGATAAAAAAAAATAGAAGCAATAGACAAAAATGATAAAATTATAAATTATAGAGAAAAAAATATTATTATCGTGTGAAAAAAATAACGAGAGATGTTTCGTTATAATAATTCATTATTTAATATTACAAAGCAAAACCTATTTGAAGATCGATGGATAGAGAAATCTCGTTAAACTCGTTTGCAGAAAGACGAACTTGCTGCTAAAGTAAAGTAGCTCTTAATATCTTGCACAGAATCGTCTCTGTCAATGGCGGGAGAAGAATTAGTTTATTATTATAGCAAAATATAATTTGTTCGATAAAATTTTCGATTATATTTTCAACAAATGAAATAAATATTATATAAGACTCTCTTTTTATTATAAAAAATGCTAGGATAAAAATACGATGTGCTAGTAGATTTTTGTATCTCTTTATTTTATATGTTCTAATATGTGTTGTAATATATATCTTGTGAGATGTACTTTTGATCGGCGTGAAATATATGTGCGTGCGTGCGTATGTATATATATATATATATATATATATATATATATATATATATATATATATATATAGTTTTAGATAGAGTAGATGCAATCGGACGTATGGATGTGTTTATTTCAGGATATTTTTCTAGTGACTCTTTACGCTCTTCCGAAAGAGCTTCATATAAATAGAAGTGTAAATGCTGCCATGCGAAACTCGTACGATATTAATGGACTTATATACTGATTTCAAATTTCTGCAATTTTTTAATTTGCTCTAAATGTCAAAAGACAAGAATCGAATATTTTACGAGCAATATCAAAATATATTAAAGAATATGAATATATGATATATGAATTTTATTTTTCGATGTCTTCTTGATTTTATTAATGGAATATTCAATGCATTTAAAAATCTATAGACTGTATTAAGTAGCGCGAGAGAGATCAAAGTTATATTTTTCGAGTTAGAGATATCATCAGATCTTATTAAAAGAAAAGATACATTTTATCCTTATACTAAATTATTCTTATCTTATCGTCTCTTTTATTATGTCCGAATAATTGAAAAATTTATTTTCGAAATATATTAATATGTTCATGATTTTCAAAGAAACGAAAAAAGTTATTGCAGTTTTTACTTCTTTGTTACATCAAAAATAGTTATGATCTTTAAATAGTTATTGTTAAGATTAATGATCGCACCGGGAAGATTTTAACGCTAAGGATGCGTTTTTGGCCCGAATAGCCGAAGCTTGAACATTATTGATGTTGATGAAACGTCTTAAATAAATCAGCGGCGCGGGATCGTCATCGTAAGGCGACATACGTGAGCGAAATGATGAACGATCTAATAATAACACTCTTACCCATATGGGAAGTTGATTTTAATTCAGGGGCTGAACACACACATACACACACATCAAATCCCGTCCTTTTAATAAGCAAGGTCAGTAATCATGGTGATTGAGATTCGCTATGAGCATCCTCGAAGTAGCGTCAAAAATTAAAGAGATTGTGTGCGTACTCATCATATACATTTCATCATACATTTGATGTTTGTTAGATGCCGATTTTAAAAAGATACTCTTTTGGAAAGGATGCGCCATGTCTGTGTGTGTGCGTGTCATGTAAGAGCGTCATTCAAAGAAAAAGTGATTATTTTAAAAATGTACACATATACAGGATGTTCCTAAACAGGATGTGCGAAAAATTTCATGAAGGAAAAATTCATATACAATGTCTAAATGGCATAATTTTCGAGTTACATGTTAAAAAAAGTTCTAACAAAAAAATTTTTTAAATTCAAAAAGCATTCAAAGTCAAAACAATGAAATTTTAAAAAATATACTTTGACCAAAAAAAAAACCAAATTAAAAGAGGAATTGGTGGAAATGATCACCTTCAGCCATGATACGTAAATCTGTTCTCCATCTTTCTCCATTAATCGATGAATACGTTCAAAAATATTAAATATATTATCCATTGTTTCGCAATTCCTTAAATCTTCGATTATTTCAATCGATATAAATTAAAGATTAACAGTAATTCTAGAGAAAAAAATTCAAGAGATTTAATTTTGGGGACTGAAAGAGAAGAGCAAGTTGAAATCCTGTTTTTAAAAATTTTGTATTTACGCAGGACGACACCTTGTATTTATGCAGGACATTGATGTACGAACTTTTCTTCAAGAAATTACCTAAGGAATCATTTTCCGATTTTTTTGGCACATGTTTAGGAATATTCTGTATATAAACGGAAATTTAATGTATTTTAAATATATATATAAACTATATATATAAACGCGTGCGAGATTATAGTAGTAAAAACTCACGTGTTTCCAGTACAATTTGTCCAAAGAGAAACATGTACGGTTTAATCTTGGAAAATCTGGCCGAATACATAAGGCAGGTTTATGGCGAAGATAGATGGGAGGAGATTCGCAGACAGGCATCTGTGGACCAGCCGAGTTTCAGTGTTCATCAAGTTTATCCGGAGAACCTGATACCAAGATTGGCAAAAAAAGCAATTCAGGTGTGATTCGCAATAATTTCCTTAACTTATTTTCTGATATATCTCATATTTAGGCATTGGAAAACTTGATATTTCGTATTTTATGTCGTATAAAACTGCATGATTTATGTATTGATATAAAATCAAGGTCGGCAGAATTTCATTTTTTAGATAAACTCTATGCAAATGATAAAACCGATATTTTTCGGAGAAACCGACAAAACTATCCCTTTTATTAAAAATGTTAAATAAAATGTTAAAAGATAAACGCGAATTTATATTGATAAAATTTATAGAATATATATATATATATATATTTTTTTTTTTCATTAAACTAAAAATTAACATAAAAATTAGTAACATTTATATTTTCAAAATTTTGTTTATTTTCGTTCATATTTTAAAAATTTTAAAAAGAATTAAAAAGAATTAAAAAGAATTTTATTATTATATTGATTTCATTTTTTAAACTGTAGTGATTAATAATTATCGCATCGACACAAAAAAATTGAACACTTAAATACTTATATAGAATATATCGTCAAAATATTCGATCATTCACGCACTTTATCCGTAGCAAAATTGCTCAGGAAAATTCAAATTGGCTTATTTCAGGTACTCGGCGTGACGGAAAAGGAGTTCTTCGACCAAATGGGCGTACACTTCGTAGGATTCGTCGGTCAGTACGGTTACGATCGCGTGCTCTCGGTACTGGGACGACATGTGAGGGACTTCCTCAATGGCCTGGATAATCTCCACGAGTATCTCAAGTTCTCCTACCCGAGGATGCGAGCGCCGTCGTTCATCTGCGAAAACGAAACGCGTCAAGGTGAATGCAAGATATCAGCCAACAGTCAGCTTGGCGTTTCAATGAGAGAATTCTTTTTGCTGATTTGTCTTTTATTCGCATTATAAATAAGAAATAAAATTAAGCAAACAACTTGTCTCTCTTGCGCTGTAATATTTTGGAGTCTAAATTTTTTAAAGACTGATGGATGCAGGTTTGACTCTTCATTATCGAAGCAAACGTCGGGGGTTCGTCTATTATACGATGGGCCAGATAAGGGAAGTGGCTCGACACTTTTATCACAAAGATCTGCAGATCGAGCTGGTGCGCGAGGAAGTGCTGTTTGACACCGTGCACGTGACCTTCCAACTCACTTTCGACAATCGCGCCTTCACGCTCGCCTCACTGGCGATGACTCGTGAGGAGAAGCACCTGCCGATCGGGGCGTGCGTGCTCTTCGAGATATTTCCCTTCTGCATCGTCTTTGGGTACGTGCTAATGGTATTACACTTTAACGGTTCAATGTTGTTAGAAATGGATTAGAAATTTTTTATTTCAAATCAAATTCTGGCCATAGCTCGATAATTATTACAGGGATTCAAATAAAAAGCGACTTACTGGAATTAATTAAAAATATCTGAAGTACGTATGCAAATCGATCTCTAAACAATAAAAAAATTTATATAAGTCAATCGATGTTTAAATTTCAGCTCGGATATGGTAGTTAGAAACATCGGCAATTCATTAATGGTCATATTACCAGATCTGGTAGGCAAGAAAATCACATACTTCTTTGATTTGGTTCGACCGCTTATCGCGTTCAAATTTCAATCGGTAAGCTCAATAAGTGTAATAAGTAGAAAATTCAAAAGATCTAATAAACAATGATTTAAATCATCCTTCTAAAAAAATTATTTTCGATAAAATTAATTTAAATTTAAATAATTTCTTCTCTCTAGATAAAAACTTTTTTCTAAGGCTTAACGTAATTAAAATAATTAAAAAATAACATAATTATCAATAATTAGCATAATTAAAAGGCTTCAAAAACCGATTTTATAACATTTAGGATAAACATATTAGTTTACTTCTATAATTTCAAGCGTTTTTCAAGCAAAATAAATAATTAATTTTATATGATTTAGATATTGAATCGAACGAATAACATCTTTGAGTTGGTTACTGTTGAACCAGTGCTTACGGAACGATTGAATGACCGGCACAGAAATGAAATTTTCTTAAGTGACGAACTTGAAGTCGTAGAAGATAAAACTTTACGGTTAAAAGGTACATTTATCGTTCTTCTTAAAATTAATTTCAAAAATTTACTAAGATATTGATTGTATTAAAAGGGAATACAGAATTAACAATTAGTTATTACTTAATTATTAATGAAGTTTGAAATATATTTATATATTGTTTACTTTTTATTCACTGTAATTAAGATATTCTTCGCTCTGATTTCTGTTTTTATTACATACAGAAGTAAAATAATCAATTTATATCAGAAAATAAAATATATAGAATATATATAAAAGATTTAAGAAATTGCATCATTAATAGCATCTCTTCCAGGTCAAATGATATACATGGATAATTGGAAAATGATGATGTATCTTGGTACACCAGTCATGCCCGATCTAAACGCTTTAATAGCGACAGGCCTTTACATAAATGATCTCTCGATGCATGATTTCAGCCGGTAAAAAAATCACGCAATGCGACTTAAGACGTAAAGAAGTTTGTTATTGTTATTGAACTTGATTATTGTGTGATTGTATTACAGTACTTATATTAAAAATTAAACTCACCGCGAAATTGTAATTAGATTCGATTTAACTATCGATTTAACTATCGATGATTTTGCAGAGATCTCATGCTAGCTGGGACTCAACAGTCCGTGGAGCTGAAATTAGCGTTAGATCAAGAACAGCTTAAGAGTAAAAAGCTGGAGGAATCCATGAGAAAATTGGATGAGGAAATGAAACGTACCGATGAATTATTGTATCAGATGATTCCTAAACAGGTCGCGGATCGTTTGAGAAATGGTGAAAGTCCGATTGATACTTGCGAGGTGCGATTAATTAGAATGGAGGGAAATTTTTTCTCTTTTTGTTCGTCTATATTATTAATTGACGTTGTACGAACCAAAATTGCTTAAAAGCAAAGCCGGCATCTTATATTATCTAAAACATAAGAATAATTAAGTAAAACTATTCTTTAATATTTTTCCTTTCTCTTTGAATAAAAAAAGGAATGAATAATCGAAACAATTATTCATTTCTTTTTAATATTAAAATTATAATATCAAGTAAATTCATCCTTTTTTCAAATTTATAGATTATGCAAAAGTAATTATATCCAATTTATAGAAAAAATTTGCATTGTGTCTCTTGTGACATTAGTATCTCGTGTACATTTTGTCTGTTTACAGATGTTCGACAGCGTGTCGATCTTATTTTCGGATGTGGTGACCTTTACTGAGATTTGTAGTAGAATCTCCCCTATGGAAGTTGTGTCCATGTTGAATGCCATGTATTCGCTGTTTGATACTTTGACCGAGAGAAATCGAGTGTACAAGGTATTCTTTAGGTACTCCATGAAAGAATATCGATTGTAATTTTTCGAAAAACTTGGTTCACACTTGTAACGCGCGCAGCCTCGAATCTTATTAAGGCTAATCCGATGACAGATATGCACTAACGTGTGAAGTTGATTTATTTTAAATTTAATTTTTAATTAGGTTTAACATCAAAATTAAAATCTCACTGAAATAAATTTACATTCAAATATTACTTTTTTTTATAAAATAAGTAATAATCTCTCTTATTTAAGGTCGAAACTATAGGTGATGCTTACATGGTAGTCTCTGGTGCGCCGGTAAAAGAAAACGATCATGCGGATCGCGTATGCGATATGGCTCTCGATATGGTCGAGGCAATAACCGATCTCAAGGATCGTTCGACAGGTACAAAGAAAAAGAAACAAAAATCGTCGATTCTTTTTTTGAAACTCATATTCTCGGAATTTACAATTTTGTTGAAATTTGATTGTTATTCTTATCTTATCGATTTTTTAATTTTATATAAATATTTATTAATAAATATCTATTTTATCATTATTATCTTTCTTTTTATTATTACTAGATTCTCTATATATAAAAAAATGAAGAAAAGTTTGAAGAAAAATTCTGCTATGTTTCTTGATATTTTTCATCTTTTAACGATTACTTTTTAATATTTATCGCGAGAAATCTTCGCGGAATAGTAAAGAATCAACATTAGACTGAGACAAAGACGTTAATTTTCACAGGTAATCATCTTCAGATACGCGTTGGCATTCATAGCGGTGCGGTCGTGGCCGGGATCGTTGGCTTGAAGATGCCGCGATATTGTCTTTTTGGCGATTCCGTTAATACGGCAGCTCGTATGGAAGCAACTAGCCAGGCTATGCAGATACACATATCTGAATCCACACGGGAATTGCTATCGCCCTCGTACAAAGTTAAAGAACGCGGAGAAATCGAGGTCAAAGGAAAAGGTAAGATCGTCTCTATTTTTTATTCTGTTCTATGAGATGTTCTCTATGAAGTGTCTTTAATTCTCGTATAATTATCCATTATATTGCATCATTACATCGATACCAGGTACGATGAAGACCTATTGGCTGGAGAAGCGAGAAAAGCGTTCCGTCATGACTAAGGGTATTACTATACAGGAACCCCATCAATGGCATACGAGAAGCTTCGAGAAAAGGATTTCCACAGTGGGCGCGATAGGTCTGATGATAAGTCCAGGCATGTATGACAAGTCAACTTCGAGAGACGTACCGTCGAGACGAGGTTCGTCGAAGATGTCATCCCCGACGCCACCGGGGTCCTCGGGATTTTTTTCCGAAGAAAGAAGAATATACTCCCCCATTACTTTTCACGATGTCGCGAGACGATCAGTCGCCAACTCGCCAACGAAGAACATGGAAATTCGAGGTAGGAAACTTGGAACCTCTTCGCAATTTTTAATATAAATATAATGGTATTCCACTTTTCATCGCGATAAATTTTTTTTTCTCGCAGAGTGTCGATCGAATTCTATGGGCGCGATGGGCGTCAAGAATGTCTCCGATATGTTCAGTTCTCTCCTGAGCGACACGGAGGAGCACTTTCGGCAGCATCGGGACAGTTTGTCGCCGCGTGCAGAAAATCGATCGGCTAGCGTGCATATGAAACCGGAAGTGAAGATCAATACCGTCTCGTCCTCGTCTTCGCAGAGCTCCGAGGACGAGTCAAATCCGTCGCTGACCTCGTCGCAAACGCGAAAGGATAACGTGGATATGACAGCTGGTGACAACAGCGAATGCGCGGCGATCAGCAGCGATCTCAGCAATTCTCAGTTGCTGATGCAGCAAGACCAGTGCTGTCCGGGATTCACCATGCCGAAGAGTAGCAAAATGCGTCATCAGGGGAACAGTTGTATTATTTTCTAGAGCAAAAGATGGAGATCGATAAGACTAATCTTTAGAGTTTGGCATTAAGTCGTTTTATGTGTATTATTTTCTCACTTGTTGTTATTTATCTTCTTTTTAATACATGAGAAATAAAAATATCTCATTATTTTCTTTAAGGGAAAAATCGATTTTCAAAGATCTAGAGGTTCCATCGTGAAAGAAATATAATATATGACCGTACATTGTGTATAACATACAGATAACATTGTTGTTTTTAAAGTAACCTTGCAATTAAAAGATATGGAAAAATATTCTTCATCTATTCCATGTGAAATAGATTCTTTGGTAAATTTTTAAGTAAATATTAAAGCAGTTCTTGTGTATGTTACTTTGATGCAAGACAATTGAATTATTATCGATAGCACATGATTATACTAACAATAAATGTACTTCACGCATATTTAATAAATTGTACATATCAATAAATATAAAGCTGAAAAGTATTGAAGCATTTACATTAGTCATCTCTCAACGATATCATATTTTTACCCCTTACCCAAGTATTTATCTAATCAAACGGAATTGCAATTTCCAATTAGCGTTTCTTTTATGAAAATTTTTTTAATGAAAACATCAATCAACGAAAATCAAAACTGTCGAATCGGCGAGTAATAATAAGACAAATTTAATTTCTTTATATATTTTTATACAGTTAACTATATTTTTATATAATCAATTGTTATATTTTGAGATTTTATTTTATTCATTTCTATTCAAACTTTTATATACAAAATATATATAAATTTCTTTCAGCTGAATAAAATACAATTGTTAAAAATACGCCATATATTTTACTTTGAATAATTTTTGAAGAACGCAGAAAAAGAAGAAAAAATGTTAGTTTAAGAAAATTTTAAAATATTGTTGAGATAAAAAGTTCGCGCGCATGTTTTCATAATACATATATGTATAGTCTAAAAATCAATGAAATTGATTAATAATAATAAGTATTTTTTTTTTCATAAAACATATTTGTATAAAAAGAAAGACATGTACGTGTTTGTATTTAATAATTTGAATCTAACTTCGAGCTTTCACAACAATTTTACTTTTCTACGATTCTACTTTGGGAAAAAAAAGTGTTGCATAAATGCGGATACAAATCTCTTAAAGAGTTTATAATAATTTAAACATAATTTCGCAACAATTAAAGAAATTTTCTTATTGTTCTACCATCATTATCTATGAATCTTGGAATCTTGTATTGGTACATTTTGCTCTAATATACGTGATTATTCAAATTTAGTTTACAGAATAACGTTGACTTACCGAATACGTCGACAAGATGAGATAAATTTCCAAATGCACTCGTGCGAAATTCTCTTGATGCAGATTTTACATATAACTCGCGGCACAGTATACTCGTGGATTATTCAAATTGAACCTGTTCAAACACGACTCTCTAATCACACATCGCACGGCGAACGCAAGATAATACATGATAATTTTGCAAGACTGCCGCCAACTTGACGGAGACCGGACCAATTAATGGATGCGCTCCGTTTGACACTTTAGGCCGGGTCTACAATAGGCAATTTAAGCCTTAAGAGATTGACCAATCACAACAGTCAAGTATGAAGAGAATACTCGTCTGTGATTGGTCAATTTCTTAAGGCTTAGGGCTTAAATTATCTACTGTAGATCGGGACTTATGTTCGCTTTTAAACAGGATTCCTCACTCTGATTGGCCCATTTCTGAAGTCTTTATCTTCGTTAAATATAATAAATAAGTTAACTTTTCAAGGATTTACTTTTAGATTCTTCTTAATACTATGCTGTTCGTTTCTTAATTTTTATGGTATCGTTCGTCAAACGTCTGATCGGTCGCGATAGCAGTTACACGAAAACGAGCCTTGAAGTTCGGCTTATGGATGAACAACGAAGGCGGTCGCGGGTCGCTGCCAACTTCCCCTCACACTCGCACTCGCATTCTCTACGCTCTACAAGAAACGTCTAATCATAGTAGTATGCCATTAATGTTGTGACGTGGTGTTATATATTATTTTTTTTAAACAATATAGATATATATAGATATATATATATATATATATATATTCAGCGAGACACGTGTGCTGCAAAGAAAACGGCAAATATCGCAGGTAAACGATCGCGGAACGGCACATTTTCCTCCGAAAACCGCCCCGTGTGATCGTCATCGGTCACAAGCTCGGAGGTTAGGTCAGATCCTTGGCATAGAACCCGCCGTGCCATGTTGCTTAGAGAGGATTAACGATGTAGTATCATCGTCCTTTCCTCGTGACCATTATATAGGAATCATTGCGTCCAAATTCGTGCCAGCGATAAGGATCCTTTCTTTCCGATCTTTATCCCGATACGAATATGCATCAGGATAGCGTCAAACCATCCATCTGCAATGTCGCAGTGAATTTAAATTTGTATCAATTACCATAACGAAGTTCTTCGAGAAATTTCCTAATGTTTGTCTTTCGGCCGAGTCAATTATTGTTAATTAATGACTAGAGAGGGCATGATAAATTTTCGATCGTATAGGTAATAAATTTATGACATTGTTCTTACATGATGAATTTCAAACACGTAGCATCACAATGTAGCAGGCTCGATCACCTTTTGTGAAAAAATATATTCAATTGTATGACTTGTGTATAAAGATAATACAAATTAAGAAATTTCTCTTGTCTTTTCCGAATCTTTCCCAAATGAAATTGAAAGATTATTTATATATGATTTATATGATTAATAACAATTTATATAATCTACTTATATATGATTAATATTCTTTATGGATTGATTATCAGACTTTAATTTGTATAATTTGAAATATAATAATATTTTCTACTTGTAGTAAGAAAAAATGATGCAGGATGAAGACTTAGGTGGTTCTACGAGACGGAATGTCGTTAGTCAAGGAATAACAAGAATATCGCAGGTTAATATATTTACATATACAGCTTATTTAATATTTTATATAACAATCTCTATTTCTATTTTATTTCCTTTTATTTTGAAATATAATTCTATAATATTGTTATTATATAAAGTAAAATTATAAATGATTTATGAACAAGATTTATATAAATTTGATTTATATTTATATTTATGAATTGCTTTCTCTATCGCAATCTATCATTGCCGATCTAGACAGTCTTAAATTTTGTTAATTGCATTATATCACAATTTTTTGTATGCTCATGTATATTATATAATTATCACAAAACATTTTTACTATTGCAGATATATCAAAGATATCTAGATCTATGGACACCTCATGCAATATCAAGATGGCTGTTTGCCCTATTCCTATTAGTTCTTTTTATTCTACGTATATTTATATCTCAAGTATAGTATTCTTTATTAAATTGATGAGTTTTATTCATTACAATTGCATCATAATACAGAAAAATTTTGCAGGGATGGTATATTGTTACATATGCATTAGGAATTTATCACCTCAATTTATTCATAGCATTCCTTACTCCAAAAATTGATCCTGCTATGGATTTTGATGGTAAGCAGTTTGATAGATTTCATATTATTATTTCTCAAATTATATATACAAAGGATTTAATTACCCAATTTGATTATGTGAGAAATTACATATTGAGATTATATAAGAATTACAAATTAAATTCTTATAGAAATTAATGAGAAATTATATAAAATAAAATTTAGTATAGTTAGTATTATTATTAAGTGAACATAATCAAGTTTTACTTTTAACTTAATGCAATAATTTAATTGAATCTGAAAATTTAATGTTATTTTAAATGAAATTGTAGATGGAGAGGGCCCAGAGTTACCTACCAGATCAAATGAAGAGTTTAGGCCATTTATCAGAAGATTACCTGAATTTAAATTTTGGTACTCAGTAACAAAGTCTACAATTGTTGCCATGATTTGCACACTATTTGATTGCTTTAATATACCAGTATTCTGGCCGATACTTGTTATGTATTTCATAACGTTATTTTGTATCACAATGAAGCGGCAAATAAAGGTAAGGAAATAATAACTTATATAATCTTTTTATAAAGATTTTTATAAAATTTTAATTATTTTTTATTTTATCTACTTTGCATTATTTCAATATAGCAGTCATTGAAAGATTGCATATAGTAAACTTAATGTTGTATTGATAATTATAAAATAAGAAAAATTTTGTATACATAGATTTATGAAAAAAAATATTTTAAGTTGAAAGTAAATAAATCTTTTTTGTGAAATAATTTTCATTTCTGCAAATATAGTCGATAAATCCTCTTTTATTTGATAATATTTATTTAATCTTTAATTTATTTTTTAATCAAAAATGTTTTGATTGAACGCATTTTTTTCTTTTTGCAGCATATGATTAAGTATAGATATTTGCCTTTTACTCATGGCAAACCAAAATATCAGAACCATGAAGATACCTCACGGTTGATATCGTCAAAATGAATAGAAATAAAGATACATTGTGCCTGTGCAGGCGTGTAAGCGTATAGATTTCAATTTCTTCTAGTACAGCGCAAGGAACATTAAAAGAAAACAAGAGACAGAGAGAGAGAGAGAGAGAGAGAGAGAGAGAGAGAGAGAGAGAGAGAGGGAACAAAGAGAAAATTTTTTTTAACATTTAAAAAGAACGGATATCGCCTTGTATGAAAAAGGATCACGAAAGCGCATAACTCTTGATTATATAATATACGGTATAATAATTGAATTATATAATATCTTAATATATTTGTATCATAAAACTTGTACAAAGTATTGTTAGCTCTTATCTCATTAAAAAAAAAAGAAAATATCATGCATAGCAATTGATATCGGATGCAGTTGTCAATGTAATACACTGTGAATGAATGTAAGAAATTCGTATGCATACAGAGATGTTATTACAATTAAATTTGTTTCTTACTTTAGGGAGTATCGTTTCCTGACGTGTACATTCCATGTGATTTCTTTGTATCTTTAAAATAAGCTATTTTTTCTCAATTTTCATTAAGATAACTAATCTATATCGTCGTCTTAATCGAGAAGCAGTAGAACACAAAATATCCTGCCGTCCATTTTAAAGTTATTAATCAAAAGGAGAATTGAAATCATAAAATGCAAAATGTAAGTTCAGATTTTTACTCTGATGAATTAATTAATTTTAATTCTTTCTTAATAAAACTTGTTTTACTGATCTATACAAATTTAATCAATTTTCATTATAATATTATTTTATATTTAAAAGTTTTAAGACAAAAATTAAAGAAAAATCATCTGGTTTTTAAAATTCTGGTTTAAAAAATTATTTTGATATAATTTGATATAATTTTAAAGAAATTCATTAATGTTAAATGAAATTGGATCAATATATTTATTTTTGATATTTTTGAAGAGATTGATTAAAAAATAAAACGCGCGCGCGCGCGTGTATGTGCGCGTATGTGTTTGTGTACATACAACACATGTTTTATTTTTTAATATATATATATATATAATATATATATATATATATATATATATATATATATATATATAAAGATATATATTAAGATTCTATTTTCCTTATCAGTTTAATATTAAAATAATTTACTTTAATACACATATTTTAATATTAATAAGAGAACATTTTTATAACTGGATAATATTTTTTATCTATTATTTTTGATAAAATTAAATTCATATAAAAAAACTTTACCATATTATATTTTTTTGTCGGATTAGTATTATTTTGCATTTTATGACTTCAGAATCCCCTATTTCATATATAATTTAATAATAGGTCATGAAAATACATTCATACAACTCTCGAAATTTTCCCTTGGACATTCATTCAATAATATAAATATACACACAATATAAATATAAATATACAGCCGACCAATAATATGACGGTATATTGCATGAGAAGATCTGCTTGTTAGGATGCATGTAGTTATTTTACACTAGCATACTAATTACAACTTTTTTAAACATCGAATATAGAAAATATACGTTTATTCGAAAATATGTAATGAAATATTTAAGTGGGAAATATTTTTTTAAATCAATTTTGCGTCTTTGAATTATTTTTTAATTTATTTTGTAATAATTTTAATATCTTTAAAAAAATGCAATAAACTGTTTAATAAATTATACTGTATCAAATATATATTAACTATTAACATAGAAATATTGTTAAGTTATAATATTCAAAATTATACCACATGTTTTTAATTTAATGCATTAATAATATATTTGCACTATATTTTTCTCGTATTTCGTGTATTCTAGGATTAAAAACGAGAGATAATCGGATCGGATCGGATAAATATGCTTTTTACACTGATGAATTTGTGCTATAACAATTATGCGCTTTACACATTGTGAGAGAAACGATGCTCATGAAACTAAGGTTTATATAAAAAGAATTTTGGTATAAAAATTTTTATAAACGAGAATATGAGGTGATTGGATTTATTTCACTGTATATAGCTGAATACTTGTACACAAACTACCTGTTTTTAGACAATTACACAAATTTCAACTGCTGATGTACATGTATAAAATGTAAACAGAAAACACGTTCTTAAAAATCAAATTTTATATCAACATTAAATATTACATTGTCCAAAGATATATAGCGAAACATGTAGTTGTACGAACGATAAGCCTTTTTTATTTCCGCAAGTCTTATTTATGTTATGACTGATATATATGTATATGTATGTACATTTTTAACAAATGTTGTGCGGAACTTTATCAAAATTTGTGTGTTGGCTTTATTCTATATTTTATTGTGTGAAAAATATTGATTGATTTAAAATATGTGTAAAAAAAGAATAAAATTACTAATGATTACCAGGTACAGTTTTTTGCACGTTTTATACTTCATAATATATCTATACAATAATCTCAATTCTTTTATTTTAAATATTATAATAAAATCAATTATTATATTATATATTTATAGGATTGTAAAGAAAAATGATTATTTTTTTACATATATATAAAAGAAAGTTTGTTTTGTTTCGATATGAGTATGTATAACTTTTATGTATATTATTATGTGTATAATTTGTTTCTTTTAATATGTTATATTTATAAATATGAGTATCATAAAAAAGATATTTATTGGACTTACTGTTAGAATGCATATAATATCTTTAAAACACTTTTAATAATGATTGTTATAAGTCTTCAATTTTTTTAATTATAGTTTTCAACACTCCTTGAAACTAATTATATAAAGTTTAAACATATACAGATATCTTTTTGTACAATGTCACACACACGTACACACTAGACGTTGTGGTATAGTTTATAGTAGAACATCAAATTATACAGAGAAGCGATTATTAATAACAAATGTATCTTCTTTACATTTGTTCGGATAATTGAAATATTTTATTAATTAACGGTAACATGTTACATATAATCTTATCTATATACTGTTTTTATGTTTGCCTTATGTAATGTTCCCTTCTTCAATGGTCTTAATCTTCTGTTAATGAGAAATTTTGCTTTCTCTCGCAATTAAAAGAAAAAAAAGAGAGAGAAACACAATTAATTGTCTCTGTCGATATGAATACTATATCGAAAGACTTAATTTTATAAAACATTAAAGGATATATCAAATTTTATTAGAAAATATATCTCGCGCATTAATTTATAATAGCAATCCAAATAAATGTTACACCTAAATATATATAATGATATATCGAAATAATGCGGCGCTTATCGTCATTCAGCTTGAGATGGAATTATTAATTATTTTTCGTTACTTTATACATATGTGGAAAAAGAGATTAGATTAGAAACGACGAAATATAGAAAGATAGACATTTTGTCACAGACAATTGCCAATTGAACTAATGGTTGATTAAGTTAGTTGAAATTTAGTCAAAGAGACTCTCACTTTTTACCGATGCTGTTCAATGGTATGCAACATATTCACCTAATCTTTATTTATAATTAATCGAAGATAATATAAATTATTGTAATAATCACATAATAATGATTGCAATAATAAATGTATAATAATATTTGCTATTAAAATTCAATTCTATAAAATAAATTTCTGTCGATTTTTCTTAATTAATGTACTTTTTCAGAGTTATATAAAAAAATTGAGATTCTCTCTGAGATTATATATATTATATCAGATTGTTTTTTTCTGATGAACTGGAATGTTCACAAAACGTTGAAATCAAATAAAAAATTTACGTGGCTTATGCCGGGAAGTCAATCTTATATTTATATACATTCGCGAAGATCTCAAATGTCAGATTATTAATTTATGAATAGAAAACAATGTTTTCGGTATATGTATATTTTATAATATAAATCTATGTGATCAATTATAATGATATATACGAGAAAACTAATGTATTTTAATATATATATATATATATATAGTACAAATATTTACAATTTCTCGCTTTCAGTCAAAAATTAGGGCTGCAATGGAAAGCTAAGAATCTTAATGATATAAAAATATTGAAGAAATTTCTTCAAATTTTCAAGTTACTATCATTGTCGGTGAAAAATTATTTCGTTATTATTGCATTCTTCAGCTTGAGAAGAGTCTATGCCTGAAGATCTTAAAAAAATACGGCAAATTTTCAAATTTTTCACATAACTACAAGCTATTCATGAAAAATGCAGTCAATCGATGATAAAATCTGCCGCGATGCAACGCGACGCGAAATTTGTTTTAAATAGTATACAAAATATTACTTCTAGACCACGGCAATTGGGCGCATGAAAAAAATTACCAAAGAAAAAATCTAAAATCCATTAAAATTTATCAAAAAGGAGTTAAATCATGCGAAAATTTCTCTTTTTTGAAACACCCAAAAGTACCTCAAGAAATATAGACCACCAAAACTGAGCTCTCCAAAAATTAAGCAAAAATCAAAAGAAAAAAATGTTTACCCATAGCATGCATATCCAAAAAATGTCCAGAACGTATCCAGAAGATATCTTTGGGTGATTAGAAATCTTCAGGATGTCCTGTTAATGTCTTTTGGACATAGGATGCTATATGGGGATAGCCATTGGGCCAAGTCAGGCTTAGCGGACATTTTAGAAAATTCGTTTGTGAAATCTGAGATACAAGAGCCATTTTTTGGTTGAAAAAGAGGGATTTTCGTATGATTTTAACTCCTTTTTGATAAATTTTAATGGATTTTAGATTTTTTCTTTGGTAATTTTAGCCATTTTTTTTCATGTGCCCAATTGCGGTGGTCCAGAAGTAACATTTTGTATACTACTGTTTTACATCGGAATTCCTCTCGCGAATCTTGTCTCTCTCGCGAATCTCTCTCATTCGTTGAGGTCTTCCGAAATAGCATTCTTGGACTTATCGAGAAACGTCGTGGTGGAATTCGGGCCTATCACTGTCGTAGTGGTGGTTTCACTTACTGTGGATTCTCGCTTTTGGTACGGATTCGACGGTTGACAATATAACCTGCACCGTGGGTGAAAAAAAAGAATTATGTTGTATAAGAATTTAATTCCTAAAATAAATCCTAAGCTAATTGGATCTTGTATTCCACAAAGAATATTATAATTTTTTTTAAATTAAACTGCGTTTCTAATGCCCAAAATTATCATACAGCATTTTAGAAAAGTTTTCATTAGGGTCTCATTATTCTCTTTTGAACGGGTTACGTGTTATATTTTCATCGTGATACGTGAAACAAGTACCTTATGCTTTCCGTTCTTGAACGGGGCGACCAGTTGTTATAATACCTCTGATGATTGCCAAGATTTCGCGCGGTGCTCCATCGTGAGAAATGATGCCTGACTGTATTCTGCACTTCCGTATTAAGAAAACAGTAAAACAACGCAACAAAGAATCCCTGAAAAAAAGAATTAATATATTATTCAAAATACGCAATTTTTAAATTTTTTTAAAAATTAGATTGTTCTCTAAGGTGCTCTTATTTAAAGTTTTCTTCTTTTTTCTGTGCAATAAAAAAATGTAACCAATTGGAAGAAAATTTTTTGAAAAGCCCAATAATAGAATCGAGTTGCGAACGTTTGATTTGATTAATATATTTTTAATTTGTGCCCGCTTAAATTCTATTATTTACGCATTTCTCACGTTACGTGTTACTGTCTCTTCACCTGTGAAGAAAGCAGCACCGCACGCGCATAGGAGAATATATTTGCGACCTGGCCTTCGGTGGGTCCCGCTATGACCAGCACGTACGTCACTCCCAGAAGTGGTATTAACACTAAGAGAGCTTTACTGGCTTTCCGATATTGCTGAGTCTCCACGTTATTAGCAGACCATAGTTTTGTTATCAACACCTGTACACGATATTTGCATTTAGAAGAACAATAGAGATAACCATATTTACGCAAATAGAAATTTTTCCATTTTCGTTTTATTATTTGAATAAAAAGCGCTTGTTCTTCGTGCATTTACGTTTTACGGGCCCAAGTTACGACTAAAAGTTTCAATGCACGCTGGAGAGGCAATTTATCGTCGGATACACGCGAACGAACACATTGGCCACTTTATCGCGCTTCTCGGCGAGAAATCACTGATTGCATTAAACTGCAACGTTATTCGTTACTATTTTATTTGCCTGTGATTGGAAAATATTTGTCCAAGTTCTTTTTAATCGAAGATATTTTATTTCAAAACAGTTTTCAATGTCTATATTTTTTAATTATCATCACTACAGTTGAGATTTTCCTCACACTGCTCATCTCTTGATTGCTCATCCTATTGCTAATCAATTGCAAGGCGCTATTTACTATGACGGGGGAAAAAACGCACATGGGCATTTTATAAGGATTGCTGATAATTTTGGCATAGAAGAAAAATAAAATGTGAAACACACAGATAATAAATATTACGATAGAATAATTTTTGTAAATGATAGTGTCTGTGAAAAGCGTGAATAGTACTCCAGCATTATTTTTAGCAACGAGATGCTTACCCGCATAATCATGAAAAGGAATATCATATTCACTGCGAGGACTGTTATAGCGGGTGCTTGATAAAACCAGTCGTAGGGATGTGGTATCATCCAGGGACAGTGCCTCCAAAGCGCGACTTCCTGTCAGGAAGGATTATCGTGTCCTAATTAATTAAAGCTAGAGTATTGAAACATCAATAGATGTTTCTATAACGAGGAATCAAGCTCGATATATACGCTAAGCATCATAAATAATACATTATATAATAGACACTTCTTTATAATGCGTTGCGTGTTGGAATATTATACAAGGTATCCCGAAACTCATAATTAATCTTTCAAAGATAGATTCCTGGGATCATTTGAAGACGATTTTTCCTCAACGAAAATGTCGAAGTACTAATAATTTTCGAATTGTAAGTGATTGGAAATAAGGAGTTTTTCGTAAACTAAGCTTTGTAGAAATAAAATATTAACAAAACCACATTCTTCGATTAATTTTAAATAGAGTTTACTTTAGTTGAGTTTTAATTTAAGATTTAATTGCAAAGATATATGATGACAAAAATCGGGAACATGCAAAAAATGATGGCCTTCATCGACATTTTCGCTGAGAAAAAATCGTCTCCAAATGATCCCAGGAATTTGTCTTTGAAAGATTGATTATGTGTTTTGGGACACCTTGTATATTGATTTTTATAGCATTAACAAATTTAGCAATTTACAAGATTTTTTATTTTTATCTGATATAATATTTTCAATGTAATATTAATTAAATATTATATATATTATAATATAATATCAATTAAAAATATTTTTGTAATTAATTCTCCAATTATAAAAATTTTTCAAAGTAAATTTTATTTGAAATTAACTAATTTTATTTCATGTATTATCTTTGAAATCTAAATCCGAAAAATCTTTATTTTTAATTGCTTATAACTTAAAAAATCCACAAATCCCTCGATTCAAAAATTATGTATGAGTAAGAAAATTTCATCGAGAGCTTTTTCTCACAAAAAAATGAACGATCTTATCGAGCATCCGAATATACGTGTTCACTGCTCAATAATATATCGATCGAATGAAATCATTCCGGCCACGTGGATGTTACACTCCCTCCCATCCCATTTTCTCCCCCCGTGTGTCTCATCCTTGTCACGTACTTGAACATGGTGTTAATAGGCAAGCGTGGCTGAAATTTTGATAAGTACTTTCGGTGCCATCCGTTATCGGTTCACGTCGCTTATCGGGAAATGAAAGATTTCGACGTGCAATGAGACGGAAATTCGCTGTCAGAGATTCACGTTCAAGATGATGTCTCTTTTATATTCATACCTGATTAATCTGGTTCACGACGTGGCTCATGACTTTTTGATTGAGCGATTTGGCGATTCCCCACATTGCTATTACAAGAATCGGAACACCTGAACAAAAAATTTATGTATCTTTCATTTATTATTATCTTTTTAATTATACAAGATAAATCACACACAGAAGATAAACGATAACAAAAATATTCCATTTTCGCGCGATTCTTCTTTTGCCTAATCGAATAACAATTTATATAAGCTAATTTAAATATTGAAAACAAATAAAATCTATATTTCTTAAACAGAATTAAAAGGGTGCTCCTTTTTCAAGCAAGAAATAAGAAAAGTCGGAAAGTCTGACACGTGTCAATATTATTTTCTTATATTTCAGCAGAAATGATGATTTTGACTAATACATCTTCGCAGCCGATTTTTGTTTATTTGTCTGTCGAAGCAGTCACTTATAGAAGATTGTAATACTTAATTAATTTTATTATTGTTAGGATTTTTCCAATACATTTTAGAGAGAGCAAATATAATATTGCCTAATCGATAACATATGTTAATAATATATAAAAATCGGAAAATTTAGTATTAAAAAAATATGCAAAGTATCTGTTTGAAATAAATAAATTTATATATATATATATATATATATATATATATATAAATATATATAATTATATAATATATACAAATTATATATAAATTATATATATATATTTTTTTTTTTTTTTTAATATATAAAATTTTATAATTAAGCTTTCTCTGCTCATGAAGTTTTCTTATGTAATTAATACTGATGAAATGCAAATTTAAAAGCAATTATGCGTACGTTTGAACGTTAATCACTTACCCCAGCCGATCACTAAGCAAAGTCTCAACTTGATATTGTCGCCGGTGAACGTTTTCACGACCAACAAATATAGATATAGACCTATGAATGCAAAGTACTTTGATTTAAAAAGTATACGATATTCTTTTCACGTTATTTATTACATTAATCATGACGTTTTTATATATCTTTTCAATCTATAAATTTTGTCTTTTTTGAAATATATACAGACGATACTCTTGCAATATTTTATTTTTCATGTATAATCAAGATATTGACATATATCTTGACATATATAATATGTATAAAATTTCCAAATTTATTTTCACTCACCTTCGACGAACATCCAGAAAAAGTTCGTCAAATGAAAGTAATGAAGAAGCGAAAAGAGCGTCACGCAAGTTGGTATATTTGATTGCATGGATACCTAGAAATTGTATAAAAATCATATGAAAATAGAATAACAATGTCAGAGAGATAATTTTTTTATCCTGTGAATTTTAAATTATTAATTTACGAGGAGATTTCTAAAATTACATCGATCCATTTTTTATTAATTTTTGTCCAAAACATGTTCACTTGCTATGTATATTTATAATACTTTAAATAATTTTTGATATAATGCAATAATAAAACATGCAATAATGAAAACCGCACACTTTGTTATAAACATAGTAGTGTTTGAGATTTATAATACTAGGATTAATTTTGGAATCAAGCAATGCTTTTAATTCATATAATTTAATTCATATAATATCATTTTGTAATTTTAAATTAGACTGGAAATTAAAAAGTTCTTTAATTTAATTATAAAATTTTTTATATAATATTATATTTATATGACCTTTAACAAGTTAAATTATCTGATATTGTCTCCTTTTTCCATTTTCAAAAATAAAATTTACTGTTTAATTATTATATTTTGCTATCTCTTTTTCAAAGTAAAAAAAATTAATATTTAAAACAAAATAGAATATATAATTTTAATCTCTCTCTTCCTTTCTTTCTCTTTTATGAAGAGTAGAAATCTATTAATATTATAATTTTGATGTAATATGCTTTTAAAGAATACCATTAAGAAGTATGTTGAGCGTAATTAATTTTTTGATGTTTATTAAAGAAATGAGGATAAAAATATATTATAAAATTTAATCTGCAGCTGAATATAATAGAGGAAAACGCAGTCGATGGGGATAACCGTGCGACATTTGTTAGTGACATACGCAGCGAATTGATCCAACAAGTGGAAAAGCCTTTTATCATTTTGAACAGCTCTCTCTTTCTGATCCAACCAATAATAAAAACTAATGCGGCGACTTTTTCTCATTTTCCCTCTCTTTTCCGCGCTAATATTGAAAGATGCTGATAATGATGAAAATTAGAAAAAACTGATAATTACAAAGAGAGATATGCAAAATTATGTAGCGAAATAAATTAAACAGATAAAACAAAAACTTCTTGCAAATTTGTAAACAAGTATAACATGTTAAATCAATTGTTTGTTATTTTATCATATTTGTGCATCAAAATATTCTAGAAAAATAAATAATTTTTTTCATGCTTGAATAATAATCCATGTTTATATTTTCTTCTCTCTTTTTTGTTTTTTTCCGCCCTCGCTCTTTATGGTAAACTAATTTTAACGGTCAAAGTAAGTAATGGAATTAATATTGTAACATGATTGATCAGACACAGCGCTTCATTAAATTTAAAATAATTTTACATAACGTAACCATTATATAATGTACTAAAATTATCAATTAATAATGAAGATTAAATTGAAAAAGAGATATTTAAAAAAATCGAAGTCAGCGTAGCATATTAAATTTGTCCGATTATTTATAATTCGAGAATTGAAGCGCATCTGTTTAATTAATATTTTCCGGTAAATAAACAAAGATTTGCAATGGAAAATGTGGATTTAATTATAAAATGTTGTTAGTAATGTTAAAATATATGTTTACGATATTGAACATTTTATGACAAAGACATATTCTATAGAATGATATTATAATGATATAAGAAAATTTGTAAATGTTATAGAAAAATATTAAAATATTATGTATATATAATGAAAATTGCTAATATTGTAAAAATATGGAAAATTGATAAGAATGTTTTTATAAATATAGATATATTTTATTATATTAACAAATATAATTTCTTATAATAAAAATATTAGTTGTTTACCTGCATTACAGTAGTTAAAATCCACGTCAAGTCAGCCATAATATATGTGAACATTAAATTTGTGTGTATGTTGTTTCTAAGACACCGTAACTCTCTGTAAGAAGAGAAAAATATGAATAAAAAAATTTTGAAAGTAATTTTCTACTAATTAAAAAATAACCAAATAATTTTTAAATGAGTTGAATATTTAAAAATAGTAGTTTAAAATAGTTAAGTAGTAGTAAGTTAGTAGAATTTAAAATAGTTAATATTTTGTATACGATATGTACAAAGTATCATACACACACACACAATTATCCCTATAAATCCACCTATTCATGGATTCATCGGATCTAAATTCGATTTTTATTTAATATAACTTTGTCATCTTTTTGCATCTTCTTTATTCTTTCTTATATGTTTGATTTTTTAAAAATCATTATTAATATAATATTATCGTAACTTTATTTAAGTAAAATTTAGGTAAACTCGCGTTTGAATCCATCTTTTAAAAGTTCTTACATAATTCAATAAGCAATTCACATAAACATTCGAATTACTTCGAATATATAATCGAAAAATCTAAAAGAGATATTAAGGATTTATAAACTTTATAAAATAATTAAAGAAAATTTTTTAAACATTTAAAATTTCTATAAGACTTTTATTTTTTCTTTAACTTTACTTTATTTTAACTTTTTCTCAGAATTTCTCGATTCGAATAATAATATATTCGAAACAATTTGAGATTTTTATCATATATTTATTATTTGAAGTAATTCGACTATATCTGTTTGAACAAATTTTATCCATCCTAGCATTTTTGTTCGATGTAGAAATTTCTTTCTTAAAGTTCTTTCTGATCCTGCTGACTATCGAAAAAGTTAAATCAGTTTTATCTTATTTAGGTCTGTATTATCTTTAGCGCAGCAATTTTTAACATATGTCATTTTGGACAGATCACTCGAATAAATTGTAAACAAAACTAGACACATTACAAAATGCTGAGTTATCAAAATCATTATCCATAGCTACTATTAATAGTTCATTTATAAATATTTGTAACTGATAATATTTAGATATCTACACTATTATAAAATCCAAAATTAATGACATTAAAGACTCTAGAGTTTGGAATATTTCCATGTGCGACATGCAGTTAATATCTAGAATGCTACGCGGTAGTGGAACAATCTGTGAATTGTGAAACAAACCGAACCGACCACGAATGCATTTCAAGAGAATTAGTACCGCTAACGAAAATCTGCTTCTGCTATTCACTTCAAGATCTCGCATCATATCGGAAGCAACGAAGTATAACAAGTCGAAAATCTAAAACGTAGAAATGTCTGTTTAAAACCTCTTCTTCTCTCTGCATGAGCAAAATAACACCCAATATTCATAATCTTTCTTTTTTTCAGTGAAACTTATTTCAGTTTTCCTATCTCTCTCTCTCTCTCTCTCTCTCTCTCTCTCTCTCTCTTTCATCTTTTGAATAAAATTACAACGTAAAAATGAAAAAAATCGCTGTCAAAGATATTAATGGCCCCAATAAATTTTAATATTAAATTATAATTAAAAAGAATCTTTCTTGTTATGTCAGAAAAGCCGAAGAATGCAATCTAGAACTTAAAGTACGAAAGGTTCCACTGAAATTTCACTTACTTGTAATAGATAAATATGCAGACTGCGACGATTAAAGTGAATAAGGACAAGCCATAACCGATGAAATATAACGTAGTCGATATTTCCACCCCAAGCTCGATCGCCGGTAGCCGCAGGTCTCGACACAAAGAATAATTGGAGTAATTGTCCCATGTTCCATTGGGCCAACACCACCGACTGGCATTTTCTGTAAACATAATGGATCTTTTAGTAAGTAAACTATACTGACAATATGAAAAAAATTTCATCAAAGTTATAGTGTTTTATGATACACATATATTTTTCAGATATAGTCACTTTTTCCTATATAAATTTTACCTATATATGTGTATAATATTGATTAGCATGATTACGATCATTGTATTCGCGATATGACTATAAATATATACGTTAAAAAAATATACAATTTTAAAAATAATTTGCTGCCACCAAATCCTTTTTTCTTTTAAAAAAAGAACGCAGATGTGTCTTCTCAAAATATTTCAATTTTACCTATACAATCCCATCTTTAATTATATTATTAATATCAATCATCTATTATAATAATCATCTTTTTATCTTCGCTTCATCTTATATGTGTATATACAACTAATATATGCATATACATCATTATGTAAAAGTGTTACGTGTGAATGAAACACAATATTTTTTTACTTATACATAATTTGCGGCATTTAATTCTTTCAGATGTCTTACAAAGTACGCGAAAATACCTCAGTGTTAATAAAATCAAACAATCTCACTTTTAGAAAATATCGAAAAACTAATATTTTTGTTGCAAAACATTTGTGTGATGTTATTTTTTTTAATAAACTCGTCACAAGAGATGCATCGTTGTTATCTAAACACAAATAATCGAGCATAACGTACACGTTTAAACGGCTGACAAGATCGCAACATTCCCGGTAATTTTTCACGCAACGTCGCTGGACCAGGTTGCAGATATCGCCTGCGTTGCATTATTCACGACCACAAAGAAAAACGTTGAACAAATCGATACGCGGAGAGGTCGTCTGTATGCTGTTCCAGCAGCTAAAGTAGTAGCGTTAAAGTGTCGCATATTAATATCTTTCTTAACCTGATCACATTTAAAAAAAAGCTATTGACAGCGGACCATTATGGTAATATTAAAGATCATGAAAAAATTAATTAATAAAATTACTAAATAAAAATATGAACATCATCTTCATACACAAAATTTTTAGAAAGAATCCAATTTTGATATAGATTAATTAACATCAATTCTAATGTGTCTTCATCCATTTTCCTTCTAATAACAATATTAAATATATAAGTAATTAAATCTTATCTATTTAATTATTTTTTGTTAAAAAATTATTTAATTATTTAATATTTTAATTACTTTTTGTTAAAAAATGATTTAATTATTAAAGTTAAAAAAATTAATTGTTACATTTTGTAAAGTTATAAAAATTAAGCTGCCTTCATGAAAGTCCTTTCTATTAGAAACAGACATTTCTAATTTACCTTGGTAATCTTTAAATATTATATGTTCCATGTCATTATTTAAACACATATAATAAATTTTGTGTCATATAAATGATAAAAAATTAAATTTAACTGCGATTGTGAGATCATCAGTAGAGTAGTGATATAATTATTGATTGTATGTGCAATAAGAGATATTAATTAAGAAAAATTTTTAATGTTTTTTCACACTCGTACATGCGTGCAATCGAATAGCAATTGATTATCGAGCAACGCGACGACGTGATGAGATAAACGAATTATCTTGCTCCATTTATTCGTAATCGATTATTGGAGAGTTTCTTGCTTGTTTTATGGATCTTTTTCTTACTAACCATCGTAACTTACAAAACATGATTAAACGATTGATTTAAACGAAACAAATATTGATTTAGACGAAATATAATGCGTAAACAATCGACAACACGTAACATAGTTTAATCTTTTCTTTAAATTATAACAATAATTTTATTTTTTTGAAAATTTTTTAAAAATTTTAATATATTTGTGGAGGTGTATCTGTGTATATATGTGTATAAAGAAGATAGAAAGAAAAAATAAAATAACTTTAAAAAATTATTTTATTCATAATAAAATTTTCATTCCAACGACAAAATGAGACTCTTTAACAGGTTCAAATCTAAATAAAGCAAAGGTTAAAATAGGATTCTAAATTCACTGCACGATTTCTGACTAATGATGTTAACTGTGATCCCTTCATTACTATTAACAGTAGATCAGTGTATATCGCCTCAAAATAACGATCGACTATTCATAACGACGTTTTGTTTTAAGAAAGTTAGCAAAACTTGTTAGCGCGTTTATGTATTACGTGAAGCTTCTCATATAATAACGAATGCCACGAGACCCAAAATACGTCAAAAAGTTTCGTAATTATTCTTGAAAATTAATGATACGCACTTCACTGAAAATCCTCATGAGAACTATTAACTTACAATGAGAGAGAACTACGCCCATCGTAATTTTAATTAGTATGATAATATTGATTTTAGAAATTACTTAAAGAACATATCTCAAAGATCTTTTTTCAGTAGATATATGTATTTCAGTAGGTAGATATAAAATGTATAAATATTAAAATAATAAAGTGATATTAATAATTCGTACATGTGCGTGATCTGTAACTATTTTTCAGTATATAAAATGTAATGTCAAATATATAAAGTATGTTAGATAAAAAAACTATATATATAAAGCACACGTCGAACGAAAAAAAACTACTATAGAGAAAAGTATTTCTGTAATATATAAATTTTGTTTAAAAAATAATTAAAAAAAGTATTGCTTCAATGTATATATATTATTATTTTATTATTATTACTATTATTAATACTATTATTATTATTACTGTTATTATTATTGCTATTATTACTCTTATTATTACTCTTATTATTATTATTATTATTATTATTATTATTATTATTATATTGAATAAATTTTATTCAATAATTTCTTTTTTGTTAAGAATCGCAAATAATTTTTTATAATTTTTCGATGCGCTCTATTTGTTGAAAAGTGCATTGTAATCGAAATAATCATCGGGATTTTATTTCCATTTAAAGTATGTGCATTGTACTCGAATTTCACGATCGTATATATAATTATGTTCAAGTTTTGTATTCAAATTATAAAAACATCGAATAAAATCTATCAATATATACTACGCGAATATAAGAAGAAATTATTTTAGCTTTTCCCTCACAAGAATCGATGAATGATTATATTCCCAGAGATATATTATAGATAATTTTAGATATTTTATAATGAAACAGAGAGAAAAAGAGAGACATGCATTTTCCTCTCTCTCTCTCTCTCTCTCTCTCTCTCTCTTTCTCTCCCTTTGTCTTTTAATAATTTCTATTTAAATTTTAATCTGCTTTAATCAAATTAGATTTTTTAAACACATATTAAATCCATATTTATTAATTAATAACTTAATGCATTAATATGTATACAAATAAATATGAATGCAATAGAACGAAGATATATATAGAGAATAAACTTGACGTAATAATTAGACATTGTACCGGTGATGATCGCGATCATATGCACAGTCAGTACCCTAAGGATATAACAGCAACCGAGAGAAACTCTCTGTGTTGTGAGTAATAACTGTAATTGTGTTTTGCAATAATTGAATATGTGCCTGTGCATATATTGATATTGCGCGTAAATCACAATGGCTAATTCAAGTAACTGAATATAATAGAAAAACATTATTTATAATTTAACAAGTTTAGAAAAAAAGGAAAGATAAGTACAAACATTCTTAATATATATCTAAAGCATATAAACAAATTCACAAGTTACGTTCGTTTATTTAATAGCAATTTCTAGTATATTTATATAAATAACAATCATTTTTAAATAAATTATTTTAATTATTTAAACGGTATTCGCGCGCGCAAATAATAACTATTAACTTCAATGTAAACATTTTATTAATATTTCGGATACTAAGTATGCGTTAAGAACGATTACTGCATTCGTAGATCTTTTGCGTTCGTAGATAAGGATTACGGGTGAATCTATTTTTGATCTACTCGCAAATGCATAGTCGCTAATGTTTCATCACTCATAAAAAACCTATCATAAACATACATATATATTTGTACATGCACATTATGAGATCATTTTTTTAAACGACTTTTCTCCTCGATGCATTTCCTGCTTATTTCCCAGGAGCACGTATGCGAACTTGCCAATCTATTTTTCATTTATAATTGCCAGCATCTATTTTAACGTTTTTTAACGTTATTTTTATCGCAATAATGAAAGATTTAGGTATTGATTCAATAATATTTAGGTATTGATTCAATAATCAATAATAAAAAACATATGAATGAATAAGACAAAATACTGTTACTCTGTTAAAGTACTGTGCTAAAAGATACAGATAGTTCAATAAATCACAAAGAAATGAAGATAAACGACGAGGAGATATTTTCACGTGAGAAAAACAAATAAAAAATTTAAACAAAATATTTTTCTATCGTGTAATTAAAAAAAATATCAATATAATGTACTTCCATTTATTACATTTCTGTATATGATTTCTGTATATTTTTTAAATAGTTTTATTATGCATACATTATGTATAATTATTTCAATATATTAACTTAAAGAAGTACCTCAATAATTTTTATTTGAAATTTACATTATTTTATTCATATTATTTAACATACAACAAATAATTTTTCAAGTTTATTCAAGAATATTTAATAAAAGAGGATAAAAATAATAAATTCTCTAGTCTACATTTTTTTTACCGAGGTCTTGTATAAAAAATATTACGGTTCTTTTCAACTTATTAGGATGTCCACACATATATTCAAATCTTATAAACAAATTCTCTAAAAATATTTTGATTCTAGGTATTTTTATTTAAAATTCCAGATAAAGAGGATATGTTAAAGATTCGTTGGAAGTTTCTAAAATCTTTTTATATGCGTCTTTTAAATATTTTTCATTCATACAAAGAAAAAAACAAAGAGCTTTTAAAATTTCAAATGCTAGATTTGTAAATATATAGATTAACTTTCGTAAGATATGTATTTTTTATTTGCATAAAATTTTCACATTTTTTACTAAAAATTACATGTATAAAAATATTTATAATATATTTTAAATATACAATTCACAAATTTAACGTGCCGAATATGAAACCAAAATTATCAG